TAGAAATGATAAACTACCCCGCTGATTGAAGGTGTCTTTGGTAAAAAAATGGCATTGACAAACTATTGAGGCATGGAGACTATTGACAAACCAATAACAAATGAAACAAGATATTCTGCCTTGGGAATTTTCTTCAGTTGAATCCACATCAGAAGAATTAATATTTTCAAGACTCCAAATTGAGGGCATGCAGTCTTCACCCATGTATACTTAATCAGAGGCCTGGAACCACCACTCTGAGAAACAAACAACACACCTCTGACACCAGAATGAAACTGTATACTTTCCAATGGGTTATCAGATATATCGCTAAAGAACTTCAAGATAACGAAGACAGAATCAAAAGAATAATTTATTTAATGAGAGCCATTAAAATTTTTCATGTTGTATAGTTGTAATTTTTCATTATTGTAATTATTCTTGTCATTTAATTCTTGTAATCATTATAGAAACTATTGATGTTATTTATTTTAGAGATGTATATATAGTTGATTGTTGAAATTGTAAATTGTAAATGAAAAATTGTCACAATGTGCCGTCAAAAAATGTGTTTATTGAGTTTGCCTATGTTTTGACCCAAACATGTGGGTCGTCATCAAGGCACTGATTTGAAGCTGGACAAGAACTTTCCTTCTTAATTTTTAAATTCATTATTGTAATTCTTCTGTCATTTAATTCCTCTAATCATTTACTCATTATTGTAATAATTGAATTATTCATATTAGAATTATCCATGTTATTTAATACTTGTAATTATTATAAAATAAATAAAGAATATTTTAATAAATATTTCATCAATTTTAATCAATATGGTCAGGTGATAAGTATGTATACTTAACAAAAAGTAATAAGAGAATATGTAAAACAAAGGCATTTCTACTCCAAAACTCAAAATTAGCAAATCTTATATTTACTTCTCCTCTTAATACTTTTATTGAAAGGTGTACTTAGATTTTTCAAGGTTATTTAATAGTTTCATAAATAATTGAAATTATTTTACCATAATATAAGATAAATAAAATTTACATTAGTAATGAAGATCTTTCAATAGAAATGGCAAATTTATTAATTCTGTTTAGATTTTTTTTTATTCTTTTATTAAACCAAATATTGGAACCATTTTCTATACATGTTTGCTCTTATACTCACACTTAAGTGCTGCTGTGCAGAACTTACAATATTCCATGTATTTTATTTTAAATAAATGTATTTAAAAAATATTAATTATTCTTCTTTTTCATTAAATCCTGAATAATTCCCTTAGCCAAATCCCTCTACTCCTTATCCTTTTTAATTTTACTCCATAATGTACTCAGTTAACAAGGGTGCAATCCTTAATTAGTAATTTAAAAAAAATTAAGCATGCTGAGTATGCTGTATTTACTAAAAGAAAATATATCATCCATGTTCTGTAAAAAGGGTGAATTCATCAAATTTTAGTTTCATAACAAGATACCAATTTGTAAAAGAGAAATTATAACTTCAGATTTTCTCATATAAGAATGGCAAAAACATTGCTTTCCTTAAAAAATGTTATTGTTCCAATTAAAAGCAGTTAAAAGTTATTTATTCACAGTTTTCTTTAAATTTTAAGGATTAATTTTCTAGTTATCAGAATGTTTTTAATTGGAATATTCATCACTGTTGAACAAATCAAATTGTGTACAAGTTTTATATATTACAACCCAAATTTACTACAAAAAAGAAAATAATAATAAAATTTGAACTTAAGTGAAAAGAACACTTAATTCAAAGATTTATCATTATTCCTGATATTTGGACGAAATGAGAAGAAATAGGAAGCATTTTGAATTTTCCGAAGATTCTAAAATATTTTGATGGATTTGCAGCATGAATAAAAAAGAAAATTAAACTGTAGTAAAAGAAATAGATATTATAAGGAAAGAAAAGTATTAATTTAATAAATGGTGAAAATAACACCTTATTAGAAGATTTGTCATTTTTTTTCTGATATCTGGATGGAAATAGAAAAAAAGGAATCATTTTGAATTTTTCGAACAATACTAAAATATTTTGATTCATTCCCAGCATGAATAAACAAGAAAATTAAACTGTAGTATAAGAAATAGATATTATAAGGAAAGAAAAGTATTAATTTAATAAATGGTGAAAATAACACCTAATTAAAAGATTTATCATTATTTCTGATATTTGGACGAAATGAGAGGATATAGGAAGCATTTTGAAAATTCTGAAGAATTCTAAAATATTTTGATCGATTTGCAGTAATACACAAGAAAATTAAGCTGTAGTAAAAGAAATAGATATTATAGGTAGAGAAAAGTATTAATTTAATAAATGGTGAAAATAACTCATAATTAGAAGATTTGTCATTATTCTTCTGATATTTGGATGAAATGAGAAAAAATAGGAAGCACAATGAATTTTTCAAACAATTCTAAAATATTTTGATCGATCAGCACTTGAAATAAACAAAGTTCTTTTATAAAATTTATTAAACGGAGAAAATTTGAAGATTTGGGGATTTTTAAGAAAAAAAAACAATTATTTTAATTTTTTTTAACGTTTTTTAAATAGTCTGATGAATTTCGAGTATGAATAAACAAGGAAAACTAAAAAAAACTGGTCCCAGAAGCGTCTGGCGTAAGAATTCCGAGTTGAATATCTTTATTTTGTATTAGGAGAGTGAAATATAACAGGAGCTCACTTTTCGGGACGGTCCTGATACTAATAGTGCTGCTATCTGTTGGCAGAACGTAGGAACTACGAATTTTATTTGAATTTCCAGCTGAAATTTCTTCTATTTGTATTAGGAATGTGGGAAGTCACAGGAGCTCACTTTTCGAGTCGACCAGGAGTCTTTGTAGTGCTACTATCTAGCGGCAGCTCCTAGAACTATGCTTTCGTATGCTTTGTTGGATGGTGCTGGCATCTCGCGGCAATTTTAACAACTACCTTCGAGTTTCATGTTCCCAACGCTGGTCCTCTGGATAGTGCTGCTATCTAGCGGCGACTTTTGAAACTATTTTCCAATTTCACGTTCCCTGGATAGTGCTGGCCTCTTGCGGCAGTATTAACAACTAAATTCTAGTTTCATGTTTCCTACGATGTTCCTTGCATAGTGCTGCTCTCTTGCGGCAACTTTTTGAACTATTTTCCAATTTTTCGTTCTCTGGATAGTTCTGATCTCTTTTAGCAGGTTTTGGCACTAGAATTTCATTTAATACGTTTATTGGATGGTGCTGCACTCTTTTAATGGGTTTTAAAACTATTATTCAAACGTTTTGTCTGTATTGCTGCTACTATTATATAGTTTGGAAGTTATAGTTCGAAATTCGCTTAAACTTATAAACAGTCACTAAAATTTTCGTTTTCTTCTTGATATATTGTTTATTAATCTAATTCTTAACGGCACAGGCATCCACAACCTTCCGTGATATGTTATAATTGCGTTTAATAAATTTTATGAAATGTATTCTTTTTGATGTATATTGTCTTAACCATCATATAGCCTAATTTAGTGTGTGTTTAGTTTCACGTATAAGCAATATATTATTTCATAATGTTTTTTTCATTAGAAATTACAGAATTTAGTTTAATTATTTATCGCTAGTTTCTCAAAAGTACATTTAGTGAGTGAAGTGAAGTTTCCAATGAATCTAGAGATGAAGCTAGCTCTCAACTGTGAACTGTGTGTTATAAATACTGATATGTAATAGTTGTGTTATGTATTTTTAAATATATGGTAAACCATAATAGACTAAAACAAATAAATATGTGTCTCTAAAGTGTAGGGAGTGAGTGAAGTGGAGTTTTGAATGCATCTAGTGACATTGGCAGTGAACTGTATTTATAAATATTAGGGATATTTAGTAATTTTGTTATGAATTTATTTATATATAGTAAAATACAAGAGAAGAATACAAATAAATGTGTTTCTGTGAAGAGTTGTTTTTAGTTTACCCCATTATTTCTTTATAATAGTACACTAATGCTCATTTCTGCATATATTATTAACTACATATTTATATCTTCTGGATGTATATCTAATTCAAAGTAAAACTGTTTGCAAAATTAGTTTTTCAAATTTTGAAGGTACGTTTCTACAATTTTCTATCTATCAAAGTATTCATGTTTATAAGGAATAATTCATTCTGTTTTCTGAATGTTTTTCTTTTAAATTTTGACACTGGCTTTCATTTAAAATCATTTAATCGTTTAAATCTTAACAAAAATATTTTGTGAAAATTATCTTATGCTGATTGTTAATATTATAGAGCAATTTGATTATAGTTGATTGACTGTTGTTTATATCATCGAACAAACTATCAGGATTCAATCATTATTTTATTGTGAAATACAACTCTCAATGCAAACGTTTTGTTGTTTATCAAGGATGAAATTAAATCAGATATACAAGAAATATATAAATGTATATAGTATAGACAGTAATAGATAACCAAAAGATAATCAATACAAGTAAATTAAGGATAAAAGGGGTAGTAAGAACATAAATAAAATATTAGAGATACATATTATTTTACTTTATTTATATCCTCATCAATTAATTTATCGTTATTTACTTCTATTATTTTTCTTTTTGAATCAAAGAAAAGGAAGGTAGAAAAATAAACAGTCTGAAGTTCAAATTTTATTATTTTTGTAGTAAATTTGGGTTGTAATATATAAAATGTTTACACAATTTGATTTGTTCAACAGTGATGAATATTCCATTTAAAAACATTCTAATAACTAAAATATTAATCCTTAACATTTAAAGAAAACTGTGAATAACTAACTTTATGCTTTTAATTGGAAATTATTGCGTAATACAACTCTATGCAAACTTTCAGGTTTTCATTGAGAATGAAATTAAATTAGATATACAAGAGAAATATATTAATGTATATAGTATAAACAGTAATAGATAACAAAAAGATAACCAATACAAGTAAATTAAGGATAAAAGGGGTAGTAAGAATATAAATAATATTAGAGATACATATTATTTTACTTTATTTATATCCTCATCGCTTAGTTTATCGTTATTTACTTCTATTATTTTTCTTTTTGAATCAAAGAAGAGAAAGGTAGAAAAATAAACACTCTGAAGTTCAAATTTTATTTATTTTTTATTTTTTGTAGTAAATTTGGGTTGTAATATATAAAACTTTTACACAAGTTTATTTATTATATATTTTACAAAATCACAAACAACATTTAAGAGAAATAAAAATAACCACTTATATTACACTAAATTTTTACATTAACTTATGTAGTAAAGAATACAAGTATAAGTTAAATTCATATACATAAAAATAAAATAATGAATTACAGATATGGGATGTGTTGTACTGTTAATTCTGTTTAGTTTATAAAACTAATACTTTTCAATTTACAAATTAGGTCTTTTACAATTTCATTACATAACAAAGTTCGTGTTTCTTTTTAATTGTATATTGATCTTCTGTGCTTGTTGAACAAAAACAAAATATACTTGCTCGTTGATTACAATATTCCTGCTTATGATGAAAAGTCCCTTAATCATCCAACATACACAATCCATCTGAGAGATCTTGAATACTAAGAAAGTTGATTTGTTCAACAGTGATGAATATTCTACTTAAAAATTTCTAATAACTAGAAAATTAAATCTTAAAATATAAAGAAAACTGTGGATAACTAACTTTATGCTTTTAATTGAAACAATAAAATGGAAAATCATAAGATTTTCTAGGCCTCTCTCATAATCATTTTGCTTTAATAGTGAAGTTAAGATCGGTGTTTCGAATGTGATTACAGTAATCAAGTACTGTGGAATAACATATTTGAAATATGTCAAAATGGCAGAACCATCTATCGGCAAATATGAGCAACCATAGCACTACCCGGTGGTCATTTTATTTATATTTTGGCGCTATGGTCCTACATGAACCATGGTCTCTGTTGTTATTCTTCTTCAGTCTTTTCTATCTCAGGCGAGCATTCTTCAACTCCGGATTTCCATTCTTTTCAGGATGTCTTCCTCTGCTACGTCTTCCACCAGGTCGATCATCCAAAAGGCGTTTGGGAATGTTATCCCTAGGCTTACATGCCACATGCCCAACCATGTGATTTGGTTACTTTTACAATTGAGATCAAATCCAGCCTTGCATAGATCTTGTGCAGCTCTTTATTGGTGCGAATTCTCCACTGCCCATCTTCACACACCCGACTGTAGATCCTGCGGAGAACCCTTCTCTCCCATGCGAGTAGGTTCCTTTCTGAGGCCTTAGAGATCACCCAAGTCTTCGAACCAGAGGTGAAGATGGATGTGATCTTTGTCCTATGAGAGAGAGAGAGTTATAATTTAGCAATTTTTTCAAGGTAAAATAACACTCGATGACCTGGGACCAGAAAAGTATTATGGAATGTTAAAAATACAATTTATACATTCAGCACAAGTTTCATCTATGTTTAAAAATGTTATATGGAAATGTATATATGTAAACGTAATGAGCATTAAAGAAATTTAAATCATTTGTTGTTATTTTCACACATATTGAAGTACTATTTACGCTCTTGATGTTTGACGAAGTTGTCTTTATATTTGCAGTTCTTTGTTAGATCTTTAAAAAATAAAGATCTAAAATAAGAAATCTTTTAATCTTTCGTTTAGATAAATGTACTCATGGTGAATATTGCACTAAATAAATACTCTATCATTTGCTATGCTGTGTATTGCAAATGAAAAAAAATTTAAAGACCAATAAGTACTTTATATGTGAAAATTCTATGTGTTCTTATGATATTTTTATTTGTATGTAATTTAAGAAAATAAATAGTTCATATAAATGTATATCATAACATTGCATTTTTAATTATTATTAATCCTAAATATGACTCCTATTTATTTTTTTTTATACAGCCAGGCTTAGTGACAAGACTACTATTCTGTTTGCATCATGTACGTTTTATGTACGATTATTATGTATGTATATGTACGCTTTTTATGTCTTATCTCTCTTTCCGTCTGTATTTTTACTTTTAAATAACCATATTGTAAACATCTACTCTATTTATAACTTAAACATGAATTTAGCACTTATAATTTGTTCTAAAGGGACAACAGTCCCAGAATAATAAAATATATTTTCATTTCATTACAATATCATCGATTAATACCAAACTCATTAATTGATATTTTGTAACATTAAATCCCTTTGTAAAATCAGAAAATTGTTTGCTAATTTTAACTGTATTTGATAAATAAAAGGATTTGTGTACTAACTGTGGTTTAATAGCAATATTTAAAAAAAAGTACTTAAAAGTTTAGCTCCATCAAAAATGTACTTAGTGACTTTTTGCAATAAACCAGCAATGTACCATTAGAAAAACCATCATAAATTGTTTAAAATAAAGATAAACTTTAATTTTAAATATGTATTCCTTGTACTGAACATGGTTCCTAAATCAAAATAATTAAGCAAATAAGAAAGTTTGTTTGATTTTAATAAAAGATGTAAGAAGTGGAATGAAAAAGAAAGATGTAATATTTTAAGTAAGAACAAGATTTGTAGCAAGAATTTAAAGAAACCATGATTTAGTAATTTTTAATATGACTAGAATGAAAATTGCAATGTTTCCGCACATTTCTTATAAAAGAACCATCATGTTTGATACAGAAAAGTTCGGCTGCATTTAAAATTCAGTTAATCATAAGTATATTGTTAAAGGTAAGTTACAAAGAACTGAAAATATACAAACGAAAAGATTTATTATTTAGTAAACAAAATACAATAGCTTATATTACATATAATTTCAAATAAAACTCCTCTAAAAATCCATAACCCTGGCCAACTTTTTCAGTCTATTAAGCAGAATGTCCCCCCTCTTGACAGTGGTCTTATACAGGAGAGAGCGATCGAGATCAAGATCAGATGAATCTTTAACACGGAGAGCTTCGTCACTGAGATGGACGCTTGTGATTACAGAACGAGCCACAGAATCGATTTTACATTGCAGACGCCCTGAAGCAGCGAATTTGGCTACTTCACGCTCAATAAATTCACAGGAAACACCAAACGCTTCCGCCATATAATCTAAAGAGAGTGAACGATATGCTTGCAAGATTTGCTTATAAGCTCTAAGTCTCATTTCTTGCACATAGTGGCGATAATGCGGATGAAGTAGAGGATCACGTTTCATATCGGATTCCACCTGAGCTAGCGCGACTAGGAATTCTGCATAGTGGCCATCGTAAAGTGACTGGAAATACTCCTTCAAGTTTCTATATTGAGAGTGAAGTGCCTGGGCCATCACGCCATGGTGCATCAGCTTCTTCTTCAACTCGCACCTGGGCAACGCTATCATACACGAAAGTACTGTGTATTTAATAATTGTCCCAAAGTCAGCAAGCTCGTATGATTCAAATGTGGGGACAACATCAACAAATAGCTTTGCAGCACGCAAATAATCCCTCACGGCGAAACTCCACACTCCTTCATATGCTTTCAATTTATTCCTAGAGCTCCAATCCCCTTGCCCTTCGATGAGTTCGGTTGCTTTTTCGATTGCTGCAGACATTCCTTTGATATCGCAACCGTGGAAATACGATATCCTAAATAATGCAAAAACGGCATCGATACGATGAGTCTTAGGAACTGTTTTGTCCTGTAACTTGCTGTTAGCTAATGCGCTAGCATTTTCCTTGTCCCCAATGCTACACAAATAGTCCAACTTTGCCTGCCACAGACCGCTAACTTGCTCTTCATCTTCAATAACTGAATTTTCATGTTCTTTTTCTAGTTCTGCCAACCGTACTTCATTATTTTTTGCCATATGTGCACATAAAGTTTCGTCCATTACCCATCCAAGGTCATTGCAGACCTAAAACATATCATCAATAATTTTAATATATAGCATTTTTAATACAATCAACAATTTGTTTATTTCTTTACATATCAACGTAGGTTATGTGCATCAGTCAGTGAATAATTAATAAATATTAAGAGTTTATAGACTTTAAAAATAAGAATATACAAACAAACAGAAATAAAATAATTGTGGGTAAATGGTTGACTGTCGTGAATAATGAAGAATAGTTGGGGTGATCAGTCTAATAAGAAGGCAAAAATTTGATTGCTCCGATTTACACCTTTGGAGTCAGCCCTGATGAAGGCCTGAACTTCAGGTCGAAACATCGGCAAATGTCAAAATAAATATTATCATTTCTTTTTGCCTTCTTATTTGACTGATCACCCCAACAATTCTTCTCTTCAGAAATAAAATAACTGGTGACAAAAGGAGTAAGATTTAGTTATTGCTAAGTGAAATATCAATCAAAGTCGCTTACAGAAGAATACATCAAGCTTAATGTATATTCGATAGGAAATTAAAATTAAAAGAAATAATAAAATAAAATTCAACAGGAATTAATAAAATCTAAGATCATTTGGTAATGTTAAATAGAATCCATTACTGCTTCATATTTTTACTTTCCTCCTGCTACTAGGTAAGAAAATTATTGTGATCGAGTCAAATATCTGATGTGTGATTTTCAACAGATCTTTACAGTTCAGAGCACCCTTAATCCAAAAAACACATTTATTGGTCTGCCTGTCTGGGCCAAGATTATTTTGAATGAGTAGACTGATTTTATTGCTTCCTATTTTTTTTTTTAGTGTTTTGACTACCAATGACATTCTTTGAAAGATTATTAAATTTCCGACTAAACTAAAAAAAAAAAAATCATTTCAATCGGACCGTTTTTGGCAAAGTTACAGTATGTAGCATTTTATATTACTGATTTTAATGACATGGTTCACATGCCCATTTACATTGCTTTAGTTCATTCAAGAAATTGTTCTATTATCATTTCTCTGACAGGTTTCCAGGCAAACAACTTTAGTTCAATTTTTTTGTTTCTATGGACATATTTAAAGATGTATAAATTTCTTTAAAATTGGTAGAAAAGTGTTGTGAATAGACACATCAGATTTTATATTATTACATCGTATATGTTTCCAGACAACACTACTCATTTTCCAAACATTAAGTTCTATTAACACTGTAATTAGACTTTAAAAAATAAAAGTATGTAAGTAAGCAGAAATAAAATAACTGGTGCCAAAAGGAGTGGGGTTTTAGTTATTGCTACAAGAAATATCAATCAAAATCCCTGATAGAGAAATTAAAATATTAAACCAGTTTTATTGAGTTTAAGATAAAGAGCTATTAAACCAGAGAAACTCCTTTAGGAAGTACATTTCGCCATGTTATTTCACACTTGTTTAAGGTTTTTTAGTAATTATTTTATTTATGAGGTTTTGCTTATTATCAATTTAAACAGATTAAAACCACTCTCTAAAATTAACAATAGTTTGGAATTGCTATTCCAAGATGGCGACTGGGTTCAAGATCATTTTGAATACACAGTAGATAGAATTCCAAATCCGAGTGTTTATAACACAATTCGAGTGTGTCCAAAAGTAGACATAGATAACAACCACTGTTCTTTTATAGCAAAATGTTTACATTACAATGAAATAGATAAAGCCATATTACATTCACTTCCTTTTAAATAAAAATAATAGCAGGAACCGACTTATTAAAATGTTTGGAACCACAGTAGAAATGTAACTTCACTTATAATGGGTGGCACAGAATTACATGACCACATCATAAATGAAATCCTGAGAATGGTGTTCAAAAGTAGATGAAAAAGGACCAGTAGGGGGTTTGTTAATCCATATAGAGTTAGCAGAATTCGACAAAAGCAATGTAATTTAAACTAATTATAGCCCAGATTTTAACTGATAAGATCCTGTAGGAATTGTGCCTAAATCGTAAGTCACGGTCTAAATATAAAGTGAGGTTATACGGTGATAAGGTCAATCCTAAGCTATATTCCAAATTCCATTTCTACCGTAAACATGGATCTTGGTCCACTGAACAAGATAGATTGACATTTGTAGTATTGCCAAATGTTTGTTTAACGAAACTTTCAATTCTTCCTAGGAAACAAATATTAAAAAAAATAATTTCTAGGTTTCTTATCTTTGATAATCAACATCTTCTTTAACCTTTTAGATTGTTAAACAAAATCTATAATCACGACACCATGAATCAAATAATAGTGAGGCAATTGAAGCACTACTGCTATCAAAATTATATTTACTTGGATTGCTTAAATACTTATTCTCACTTGAAACCAAAAATATTTCACAAGAGGTTGGACATCAGTCTACCTCTACTTTCAGATACACACAGGTTGATTCGGGATTTCACCAATAGTGGGCTTAATGTGATCTTGAAACCAGCTACCATCGTGTAGTAGTGATTTGGAGCTAGTACCATTATTACTTAATTTCACATCATATATTGAATTGTTTAATTCTTAAAAGGGAAATACTCAATGTTGATTTAAATCAAAGCTAAATGACAAGATCGCTTAAAAAAATGAAAACCACAAGCATATATCAGACATTATGGAAAGCATTTGTATATTGGTAGTTAAGATAAGAACCTTATAAATTTTATTAATGAAGTTTAATCACTTATTTCTGTATACAATAATAAAAATGATAACAAAAAATCTTTCATATACCTCCCGATAATAAGGTGCCATATTCCCAGCTTTAATACCATTAATAAGTTCTTCTTTTAAGGCAAGGTCAGTCTTATATTCTGGTAGGCTTAAAGCAAACTTAATTTGAGACAGCTTCATATATGCTGGAGTAACTCCTTCGTTATCCATCTAAACATAGATTTATTAGAAGCACTAAAAAAATCAAGCTCAAAATATTATTTATATACATTATTTAAATATTATATTATACCTTGCAAGTGTAATTTTTAACTCGGACAAATCAAAACACTTAAGTAAATCCCCTAGAGAAAACAACTTGTAACCACTGAGAACCTCCCCAAAAACCGTGACAATAGCAACTTTGATATCTACAGATCAGTGTTGTTAATGGAACAAAAAATCTCGTTATACAATTGTTGATTAACAATTATTCAAATATATTAGTAATTCACAAAGAAATGGTTTTAAAATTATCTGCCTGGTTAATAAAAGATTAATGAGTTGAATGCACTATTAAATTGGGTACAAATAAACTGGTTCATAGATAAGGAATATTTATTAATTTATGATTTTTTTTTAAAATTTATTCCTCACAATTTTTACCAAAAAGAAGAATTCGTCTTGATCTTTTACTTCAATTTCAGCTTGATAATTCAATAAAGCAAGGATCATTTATTTATATATTAACAAGTTACATTTATTACAATTATTTATATTTATTTGTGTAAAATTGGGCTCATTTTTTTTCAACTTACTTTTATGACAAATTTATATGGCCAAACTACCTTAATACTTACTAAAAAATTAATTTACACCGATAGCAAAGCTAACAAAGACATACCTAGAGGTCAAAAATACATTTCAATCAATTGCAAACATTTTAGAGTTTTTTTTTACTTTCACTTACCAGCACAGGCGTATCTACGAGGAGGGGGGGGGAGGCTTTTATAGAAAAATATATTAAAAACTATCTCTTAAAGTATTAATGTTGGTGTAATTACATTTAATAGGTTTTCAAGAATCACTTAAACACCATTTCATATAGATAATTAGTTTCTTTCTTTTCTTTTTTCAAATTAATTATCGCTATATACAATAAAAAAAAAGCATTCGGGCTGAAGCCCCTCCCAAAATTAAATCCTGGATCCACTATTGCTTACCTATATATGAAATATATACTAAAAGAAAGTATATACTCCGAGTTTTCGACGGAAATGCACGTTTTGAAGTCCTGTGAGTCCAAATAATCAAGTCTCGCAAAATGGTCTGTGTGTATGTGTACAGTCTAGCTCAAAAATGAAAAGTCGTACGAAACTGAAATTGCGTATTTAAGGCTTGTATATGCCTGAGATGTTACAGCAACTTTTTCGTCACGATCGCCAAACTGGAAGTGGCACTTTATGTAATCGTTTTTACACATTTTTACGATTTTCTCGAAAACGGCTCTAATGATTATAATTAAACTCGGTATATCAATGTACAATTAAGTGGTTTAGATCTTATCCTCATTGATGTCGCTGAACAGTGCTTAAATGCTTAATGTTTAAAATTCCTTCCTCTAAAGTACCTTTAATTTGGTTTATTTTAAATAATTAACTATCTCTCATTATAAAGAGTTGCAAAAAAAAAAAAAAAAAAAAAAAGAAATGCTAAATACAACTTTTGAAAGAATTTGATAATTGAAAAATAGAGAAAAAAGGGGAACTGTTTATTTAGTTCGAAAATGAATCTCTGGAAATACTGGGAAGAAGGTATACGAAAAATGTATAATTGTAAAGTGGTGAATTTTAGAAGAAAAAAACAATATCTAATATAGAAAGTTATGGAGAGTCACGAAAAATTATAAATAATAATTTGTGAAAACTAATATTATTTGATGAAAATCACACGTTTTCAAGGAAATTAAATGAAATTTACTAACGAACTTTAAGCTTTTTTTAAGATTGAAAAAAAAAAACTTTTAAAATTCACCTAATCAAATCATTAGGTGAATTTTAAAAGTTTTTTGTTTTTTTTTCAACCTTTTGTAAATAAGCATCTATTGGAGTTTTGGCAATGGCCAGATCCTCCACTCAAGCCCGAGTGTGTATGATTAGGTTAGTTGTTTTGTTTATATACATTTATTTTATTTTATTGTATTTATTTTTATTTTATTTTATTGTATTTATTATTATTAAGTTTCTGTATTATTTATTTTTTTTTATTGTAAATAGAGTGTGAGTGTGCTTTCTCTGATCACTATTATAAATGTCCTTGATGTGACAGAATGTAATATTTCTAAATAAACAAATATATATATATATATATATATATATATATATATATATATATATATATATATATATATATATAATCAAATCATGGCATTGATTGTTTAAAAAACTATTTCATTGTACTTTTGTGAAAGAAGAAGTGAAATTTAAAAATATTTCATGGATGTATAAAGCATCTGTTTATAACCTTAAATACATTTACTGTAGTTTAATAATTCTAGATCTGATATTACATTTAAATAATTAGATAGTCTCTTATAGTTAGCAGTAATAAAAAAATTGACTAAAATTGACTAAAGGAGAAAAAAGGAAAAATATTTTTAGATTGATAGTGAATTTTCGGTAATAATAATCAGAATTTATATGTATAATAAATCATTGGAAAGAAGCGAATTTAAAAAAAAAAAAAGTATATCTAACATACAAAGACGTAGAAGATAATGGAGGTTAACAACACAATTATAAATAGTAATACCTAAAAATTAGTGTTATTTCACGGAAACCAAATGTTCCTATGGACACTAGTGGATCCAGGATTTAATTTTGGAGGGCTTCAGCCCGAAACATTTTTTTCATATATATATATATATATATATATATATATATATATATATATATATATATATATATATAACTATAATTAATTTGAAAAAAAAAAGAAATGAACTACCTATATGAAATGGTGTTTAAGTGATTCTTGAAGCCCTATTAAATTTAATTACAAGAACAAGAATACTTTAAGAGATAGTTTTTAATATTTTTTTCTATAAAACATGGTTACATTTTACCGTTTTGGGGGGGGGGGCTTCAGCCCGAAAGCCCACCTTCCCCGTAAATCCGCCTGTGCCTATCGATACTAAATGCAATCCCCTAACTAAATGTAAATTAAAAATATAAATATATTTTTAAGTTTGAAATAAAATCATATATAATTAACAGATTTGAGAAAATGAAATTGTTAGAAAAAAAAAATGTATTGCACATTTCTTAAAGAAATGAAATATTTCATAAATGAGTAAAACATATGTTTATAACCATAAATACATATAATATATTTAAGTAATTAGATATATATCTTCGATTTATTCCCAAAACTCTAAAATTTAAAGAGTATTGAATGTTTAGAACTAATTCTTGTCAATATAGTTAGTAGGAAGTTGTCAAACACTCGAACCTCACGAAGACCAATTTTGAAACAACACTATTTTTCTTAAACCTACTTTTGGGGATTTCCTTCTTATTGTTGCCTACAATGTATTTATTAAATGCATTGCCCTTCATCCTGGAAAAGAAGTTATAAACTAACCAAGGAGCTTATTATTTACATCTAAAGGCCAAACTGCCCATCACTGGTTCCCCTGTCTTTAACTGGTGCCCTAGTGTTCTTGTCTTTTTCTTTTCTTTTTTTTTTTCCTGATATTCAAGTACGTGAACATTATTTTATATAATTTCTATATTTTTCATTCAGAACAATTACCGTAATTAAAAAATAAGAAAAAACAAAGCTCATCCCTAAAATTAAATTCTGGATCTGCTACTGAGATAGGAATCGACACAGGGTGGCAAATTAGGGACAGCTGCTCCCGTTTTATGGAAGAAAACATAAAACAGCAACAAATGTAAACATAAAATTTTTGAAAAATTGATAAATAGTGAAAGGATGGTTGTTAGTATTTCAACATTCTGAAATAAATTAATTATGACAAAAGGACATGCTCTGAATGAACAAAAGTAAATTTTAAAATTTCTTCCATCTTTGATTTAATTGTCTTTTATAAAAATTAGGAGAAAAGTACCTTACTCACTGAGCTATCCCGTTTCTCCATATAATAAAAAGTAATTATTTAATTACATGCAAAAAGTTACAATTAGTGTTGCCCAAATGAGATACCGAGATGAGTCTTGGTCATGGTCTTGCGGTTACTTATTAGATTATTATAGAGATATTTCTGTAATTTTTTAGATAGGAGAAACCTAACTAAGCCCGAATGAAATATTAGAGGATTAAGACCATTCTATAACTGTTTGAAATTGATAGAATTAAATGTGAATTGTATGAGCGATCTTTAATTTGGGTATATCTACTAGTATGTATCTACTAGTCTTGGTCATGGTCTTGGTCTTGCGCAGGAGTCTCGCAGTTACTTATTAGCTTATTACTACAGAGATATTACTGCAATTTTTTGGATAACAGAAACCTAACTAAGCCCTAATGAAAAATTAGAGGAGTTAAATGCAAAAGTATATTGGTTATACCAATTATTAACATATAGTAACTAAGATTGTCAGATATTAGTAACTATTTTGCATTAATTTTTATTTAAAACATGGATTTTTTTTTACCAGGTCTTGGTCTTGCGACAGTTAGGCGGCCTTGGTCTCGTTCTTGCAAAGTGCAAGACCAAGACCGATTTTGGACAACACTAGTTACAACATTAAAATCGGAGTAAATCAAAGTTCAACCTATGAAAAAGCTTGAGTTCCGAAAATAAATTATTCATAAATTGTCACTTTTTTAATGTGATTTTGGTTTTATAAATAAATTAACAATTAAAAATATATATTTTTATATTTATTTTTTATTATATACATTTTTTTCTGAATTTCTTATTCGATCATTCTTGACATCAAAGCAGATGCTGAGTAAGCAAACTGGAATACCTGAAATTAAAAATATATTTATAATTTACATTTTATTATGAATTTTTTTATGAATATTTCAAGACCCTTATTTTGAAAGATTTGAAGATTTGATGTTAGGTTTGTTTATAAGTCAAAAACTATATTTATCTAAAATTAAATGAAACATTGAATACTAAAACCAGCCAACTCCATTTTAAATTTTGTTTAAATTATAATTTGTAATGCTAGATTATTCCAGAGAATAGAGCTGTTAGACCGGAATATGTTTGAGGAAAATGACATAAAACCGAATCTGGAACCTTGAGCTCAGTATGTCAGTGCGCACCCATTAAGTTATCCCACTCCTATAGGAAAAGCTGATAGTATATACTATTCCATTAGCAACATAATTGTAGGAAAAAGAGAGGTCAATAGACATGTCTAGCAACACATTTTCAAGGCCGTATTTATGCCTGTTCTGCTGTATGGGACATGTAGCAGGGGCCCCTCAGACAACAAATGGAGCTGAATAACTGCAGCAGAAAAGAAATACCTGCGCCAGGTTTAGGATCAGGAATCTGTTCGAATCCCGGTACCCGATGGGAATTTTAACTCGGCATAATTCCCTTCGCTCCTCCCCCGGACCGGAAAATAACCCGTGTAGCCTAAAAGGCTAGGAAAAGGAGAACAAAGAAAAAAAGAAAAAAAAAAAAAAAAAAAGGATCAGGAATCAAACTCCATGGGAAGAACTAAATAATCCTTCAATGAAGGAGACCCTGGAGAAAGACAGTTGGGGTGAGACGTGTGTGCAGAATGGTCCCTGATTGTAACCATACAAATTTATGGAGATGAAACCAGTTGGTAGTAGACCTAGAGGGAGACAAAGCCTAAGCTATAATAGCTATATTTCAAAGCAGGGCCAAGCGAGAGAAAAGGCATTGCAAGACATGTCGACTGTTGCAAGCACAGCCGCAGACTTTGGGGGAGAGGAGGAGGAAGGGGGGAGATGATTGCCCTCTAATTAAAATGTTGTGGGACCGAGAATATCGTTTTCCTCCTCCCCCAATAATTTGAAGTAAACAAATATTAAAATTCATAGCAAATAACTTAAATGAACGAATAAAATATTTAAACTAAAATCTATTAAGAAAATGAGAGAAATCAGCTACCTGGCTAATCTAAGGCCTAAAGGAAGTAACTATTTATTTTATCACGACCTAAATATTCCTATTATTTAAATTGAAATGGAATGGATAGCCAGAAATACGACCATCAGAGAAAAGATGGAGGCTAAAAGAACTATTCTGGAAGATATTGAGATAAAACGTCTGAAGTGGTGTGGACATTTGAAAAGAATGCCTGAAGGAAGACTACCAAAAGAAGCTCACTTATGGAAAACTAGAGAAAGAAGAAGACGAGGAAGACCTGGGATTACGAAGTGGAGGAATCCATGACGGGTCATCCATGGAGAAAGCACCCAAGCACTTTAGGTTAAGTAAATTCAATATTAGGACACATCCATTTTCACGTGATTTTGTTATAAATGCTCGACCATAAAGTTGAAAAAATTTATTTAATAAGTACAAGTATAAATATTTTCTGTAAAGAATGTTTTTATAGACATTTTTACATAACTAATCAGACTGTGAAAACGTGTTATTCTTATTCAGAGGTTGCACATACTAAGAAATCAAAAGTATTTTTCCGGTTTTTAACATTATTCATTTTTAGCTGTTCTATAAATATACCTATGTTATGAAGGATGTATCCCTTCCTTCCGTGTTTAATGTATACAAATTTTAGTATATCCAATTGTTTTTCCAGATATTTTCAAGTATATTTTCAAGGACATAAACAAATCCTACAGCTATCTAAAGTTATGTATAAATTTGTTCTTAAATATCCAATATTCTATTGGTTCGTTTCGCAATAATTATTTTGAATTTTTACACATAATATGAACTACTGACATTTTTTTTTATTTTTTTTTTCGTCTAATCAATCAAAATGAAAAGTCTGCGGCTATATGGACAGAGCTAGATGTGGATCCTGCCTGGATTAGATTAATTTAAATCAACGCTGAAAGGCACAAGGAGAAAGTTGAAAAAGAAAAAAAAAGTAAATGAAATTATAGTTATGAAATTATCTAGAATTTTATTCATTCATTTTTATTTAATATTTCATATATTTATCTATATTTTAATATAATATCTTTAAAAAAATGCATTTCATGATACACAGATATATTATCTTACACTCATTAGTGTTTCAACGTTGACTGGGTACATCTTGACAGCAATGAGAGACACAGGCTTTCTTGAACGGACCATTACCATCTGAATGGTGTCCCTGGATCTCTTGTCTGAGGTGTACCACTCGCTGTTGTAAATAGAAAATGCGATACTCGTGCTCTGCAAAATATTAATAACATATTTTTAACGAGAGAAATAATTTATACTATCTATGTTTACTGAATACCAGAATATTATGCACTTTAACATAATAATGGGATGCGACTGAGATGGAAAATACAAATTTTCGACCTCGACGGCCCCTTCGACTTTCGAATGTCTCAAAAACTGATATATTTTCGCACTTTTATCTCCCCATTTTGACCATGAAGGAGCACGCCTTCAACAAAAAAACAAAACAAAAAACATTCGATACATTTTTAAACTAGATTAAATTTACTACAATTTGAGACTAGAATAGGCTCGGTAAACCAAATCAATTTTGAACTACATCTTTTTCAAATTTAGAACATTTTCCAAATTAGATATTTTTAAAATTTTTATTATTGAAATTTACAATTGTATTAAATGATAAATACAACAAGTAACATGGCATGTACAACATGAAGAGATAATACCCATTGGTAGAACTCCAATTACATGTCTATATTAAAAGGTCACGAGGCCATCTTTTTTTTCAGACACCTCAGAGGTTTATCAGGAATAGAAGAGGAAGCAAGACTGGAAACAAGAGGGTTCGGATGGTTCAGAAGTTTGTTATGGAAGGACAGGTATCTAGATTGAGCTAAGTCGGAAACATATGGTACATTAAGGTCTTTATGGATGATTTTATTTGTGACAAAGTTGGGAGCGTTGAGGATTTTACGAAGGATTTTGGATTGTAGGGATTGGATACGAGAAGAATTTGATGGTTTAGTGGAGCCCCAAAGGTAGATCCCGTAAGTAAAAATAGGCCTTAGTATAGTATAAAATATGAGTCTTTTGTAAATTGTAGGAAGTTTAGAGCGTTTGTCTAGTAAGTGCTGTATTAGTAGTTGAAATTTTAAGTTATAATAATTTTCATGTTTTATCAAACGCAATTGGATCATTCTTATAACATTTGACCATTTGATGTACCGGGGCTTCACATTCGTTTTTCACATGTTTTTGCAGTTTTAAAAAATAATTAATGGTTTACTTTTTTGTATTGTGTTTAAGAAATGGAATGGTGACATTAAAATAAATCTACCTCAACCACAAGCAGACATATCTCAATGCGAATGTAAAAAAAACCTAACGAATATTACTGTCTCCAAGGTGAGGATGCGAAATACTTAATTCTTTGATATGACATGATCTGTATCCATTAACTTTTAACCATGGTGAATTTTACTATTAACATGGCGGTATTTCGAATTATAGATACCGTTTTCAGTTGTCTGAAATACTTTGATAGTAAAATAGAAAAATTGGTTTGTCCCCAAAATTTGGAGAAAAACATCGTAACGAATGTTACCGGGTTTTCTTGCAATACTGTTAATTTAATATGACGGAAAATGGTTTTTAAAAATCTGTGGTGCCAGCTATCAGTCCAAATATAATCTTGAAACATAAAAGAGCTGACTGGATATCATACATTTTTCTTCCCAAAACCTGCTATGATGTAAAAATTATGCGTAAAGAATGTTACCAATATTTTAGTTAACATTGTTCAATTAACATAATGGATGATAATTGCAATATAAGTAGTTTCAAGGCATTGATTTATGATTAACGTTTCATAACTATCCAATATTTGATTAAATCAGTAAGAGCGATTTTGTATGAAAACCTAACGAATGTTACCATTACTCACATAAATTTAATATAATTTATTCTAATTTTCCCTACTACCAATTGATTATATCAGTATTTTTATTATAAACATTTACATAACAGAAGGATTTTAGTTGTTTTTCTTTTAGGCATCGATGAAAGAAACGAAAAACATAATTTTTTAAAAAAATTTTCTCATGTTGAAAAAAATAATTAAAAATTAAAAAAGAAAACTAATATTAAGAAAACTGACTATCGAAGCTCAAGTTTGTTATCTAGGAGATCTACAATAATAATTGAGATAATTTTTCTTTAAAAAATTTGGTATTTTTTTTAATCCGAATTGCTAGATTAAGAAATGCTAAATGGTCAAATAATATAAGAATGAACCATATAACAATAATTCTGAATTTTATTGCAAGGTTGTTTTTAAAATTTCAAAGCAATCGGTGAAGAACTTTCAGAGATAAGCGGTTATGAACAAACTAATATTTCCCTTTCCACTATAAACACTATTTTCCTAAAAAAAAAAGTTATTGATAATCAATAGCTAATAAAGGAAAAATATAAAAGAAAATTGGTTTAGAAACTTAGCAGAAAAATGTACTCAACTGTTTTGTCTTTATCTAATTATGTAATGATTTTCAAAATTAAGTTAATCTGGCACCTATTCTTATAACTATTGTTGAAAAGCTATTATCTAAAAAATCTCAAAAATAAACTCACCGAAGTTTCCAGCATCGTTGTCGCGAAACATAAGAAAATGAACTCGGCGACTTCATAAAGCAGGTATAACATATAATTGATGGATACAATTGGATCCTTCGCTCCCTAAAAAAACAATTTTTATGCTATATATATATATGTGCATATATATTCACAAATACATACATAAATATAAAAAAATATTATTAAACATAGGTTTTCATGATTCCCAGAGAGGATTCTAGCCTCCAAGATATATTTTATTCTTAGTACAATACAGTAATTTATGGAAGGTCCCATCTTAAAGTATATAATTATAATAAATTTATAAACAATTATTTAATTTTTACTTTCACTTCCCTATATTAATAATAATAATAATGCTTTATTGAATATATGATACAAAATTAAACTATGAAAACAACACATTTTACGACAGGGAAATCCGTCTATAGAAAACTTTATACAATATATTATTGGTACAGCAGATAATTTACAATAATAGTATATTAAAACATGATATGATTATATAATGATTACCTAATAAATGAATTAATAACTATATCGAAAATAAATAAATTAAAAATACTATTGTAATAAAGATATAGAATAAAAAAAGGAAATAATTAATTTCTATTTAAAAAAATAAATTAAAAAAATATGAAGAAAATCGAAGAGAATATATAATATAATAATAATATTTTTATTGTAATATTAGTTAAGATTCATGTACCATCAATCACTATATTTTTTCATTATGAACCATTATTAGTCGTATAATATTATATCTTTGATTGTATTGTCAGCCCTGATGATGACCCACATGTTTGGGTTGAAACGTCAGCACTAATAAAACCTTATAATGACTGCGTCCTGAATATTTATAACCCATCGTTATCATTCGGTTTTCTACACTATTTTTTTCCCTTTTCGACTCTCTTACGGCGTTGCGTCAAGATAAAATTTTGAATAATACCTCATTACAAAGAGTTAAATATGCAGGTCCAATTTTTAATTTTTGAGATATTTTAATCCATATGCAAAAACACTTCAATTATTCTTCTCCAGTAGACTTTACCCGAGCGTTACACATCGAAGATCTGACGGCTCTATCCAATTCATTTTTCACAAAATAAATGCAAAACGTGTCTAAAGAATTTTTAACTTAAAAAATAAGAAAAGGTAATTACAAGAATATTAATGCTTCCAGAGATAAATTTCTAACAATTTTTTAGACGCGTACTTAAATTTAGTAGCGATATATGCCTTATAATTTAAGAAAGAGAATATATAGTGATTCTTTATGTATTTAGGTTAGATCACATACTAAAACAAATATGGGACCAATTGGCCCAGTCATATTAGACATATTACTTTGTAAAAGGTCGAGTAATTCGCCATTTTGGCTTAATTTCGCCGTACTTGGCCTTTTATTAAATCGGAATAGTTTGAGAATAATAACACATGAAAAACATTAACAAGTAATTAGCCTTGGCAATAAAAAACACCAGTTAATTCAAATTTTTTATTTCGTTCAAACTAAAGTTGGAAGTAGAGCGTCTTTTGTAAATAAACGGGCAACAATAACTAAAAACGCCCCGAAATAAAACATCTGGAGAATTCATTTTTATTTGTAAAACGTTGATTACTTTTTAAAATATTTGAAGCATTTTCTTAGAAAATAAACATATTCGACAGAAAAGTGGGGCTGAGATTGGCGTCTAGGGTCCTCTACCGCATCATTAAGTACTCATAATTGGCATAGTTATATTGTTATAATGACTGTATAATATTTGATTGTATTCGCAAACAATTATACAGTAATAATAATAATAACACAATAATTTAATTGTCAATTTTTGTTTTCTTTAAACTTTACCGATTTTGAAAGCTCGATAGTTCGCATCCTGTTGGATTTAGAACAAAATGTTATGTACAAAAATGTTAGATGATTTTAAGCTGTTTAAGATTGAATATAACCATTTTTTACCTATGTCGCTTTAAAAAGGAAATATTTCGCACAAACCAAAAAAAGTTCTAAATTTCAATGGTTTTTGGAAAACTGCAGCGAACCCACATGGCTTTCAACGACGGAAAATTGGATATTATATAGTCACAACATACTTAACATGGTAAAAAAGAATTTTGAACTACCCGACCTTTTGTAAGATACATCTCTTTTTTTTTGTGCTAATTTGACTGGGTTAAATGAAAACAATTAAAACAAATATCATTTTTTCGTTTTCGGGACTTTCGGACTAAAGCTATATTTTTGGTATACTCCAGTGCCAGAGTGTAAAATCTGTTTTTACAGGATTTTTTAGATAATCCATGGATTTATTTATTTGAAAAAAAAAATCAGATTTTCATGGACCATCAACTTGAGTTTAATGAAAACATGTGAGATATGGATTGGTTCATTTCTGTGAAATATCCAAATTATTATTTTTTTTTTTACTTTATTATTTATAGAATATTAACAAAATCTGCCACACTCAAGAACAATACGTTTTACAGCTAAAAGTGTACACTCATACGATGCATACGTACAAGAAAAATAAATGAAGTAATTAAGAACAAATTAAAACAAATAAAATTTTAAATAAATAAAAAAAATTATATAAAAATGAACAAATAAAATATAAAATAATAATAAGTAGTGAAGAAAGTATACTGATAAAAGTAAAGATATAAAAATGACTTTACAAATTAAAAGATATATATCAATAGATAATGGTTACAAAATTCTTCTTTTTCAAACTCTGTAGATAACAAAAAAAAGTTAAAGATAAATATAAAATTAAAATATAAAATAAAATAAAAGATTTAATAGATAAAAATTGAATACTTAATAGTTGACCGTTGAGCATTTTAGCGGAATGAGATGGTCCAGGGTGGCTGTCATAAATAGACTAAAGTAGTGGAAACAAATATTTTATTTCAAGCCAACGTTTCGACCCGACTTTGCAGTTCTTCTTCAGGGCTAAAACGGACTTGTGTATCTTGTCAAACATTGGCTTGAAAAAAATTTTTTTTGGTATTTTTATTTGTATAAGTACCTTAATATAAACATTTACGATTTTTCTATTTGAGCTAGACTGTTAACACACATACACACACAGACCATTTTTCGGGATTTGGTTATTTGTACTAAGGGGACCTCAAAACGTGAATTTCCGTTAAATACTCTGATTCAAAAATTATCCTGATCGCAATACTTACTCTTATTATATATTAAATTTATCGCTAAGTGAAAGTAAACATGAGTTATTAAAAAAAAAAAAAACTTATAAGTCTAATAAAACAGGAACACAGATATTTCTCGGTATATGATTCATACTTGGAACAATTCGGTTGTGGTCAATAAATCAACAATTCTCTCTGCATGAAGTTTGTATTATGCGCTACTAAGAATGAACGGGTTATAAAAAAATGAAATATTATTTAAAAATAAAACATGAATACTGATATTACTATTTGTGACCGTCACCTCCTTCCTCATTTAATAGATAAATAAAATTCTGCCAAAGCTCATTCACACCTATATACAATAGGAAATTATATTAAGCTATTAAATAATGTAATTTAATATAAAAAATAAATAACATACAAATAAAAATTGGAAAATAGATGCGATGAGCAGTAGGGCTCCAAGTGCTAAGAGCATCGTTATGTATCCGTTATAGCAATTCTTAAGCTTGTTTCCGTACCTTTCAAACAAATTTTTATTTAATTTTCATATATTTATGAATTTTAAATTTTATAATAGTAATATAGATAGCTTAAGGTACCTGAGAAGCGTCTTGTGGTCGCGAATAATCGCTAGAAGTTCCTTGTAGAACAAATCTTCTACTTCTCTTTGAGTCAGCCCTTTCTTGCCACTGTATTGGACTATTTCCTTCTTATTTAGAGTCTTTATGTGGTAACTAAGTACAGACATCTGCGCATGAAGCGTCATCACTTCCATCGTAATCACCATTTCGTAAAGTGCAACAGTGAATCCGCACCAGGCGAACAAGCAGAACTCGTAAACGTAGACGATTTCCGCCCATGGACTCCTGGTGAATGGGACAGGATACCATCCTCCGAGGATCTTCTTCGGACCCGTCGTCACATCCTTCATATTTCCAACATGGTTCGCGATGTATTCTGAATTAATGCGAGGATTCACATTCCAGAATGCCACAGCGATAAAAGTTATAATCACAGCTGACAAGCACCAGATATTACACCTTCTAGATATTTTGTTGTATATTTTTCTCGCGTGAGCCTTCTTGTATTCCGGGAGGCTGGTGATTATATTCTTAGTCATGACTTCCAGTAATATGGCGTGGTCCTTTATATTCATCAAGAAGACACCCTGTTTGAACGTCATCTGTAAGAAGGATACGGTGTTCAGCAGGATTATGGTGGCCTTTTCTAGATCTATTTGTATGAATGCTGGACACATGATCTGGAAGATGGGAAAAGATAAACAGAGAATTGTGACGAACCATTGAACCTTGAAGACGAGGTTGAGCTTCCCAGATTTCCTGTATGTGGTGACTGTGTTCCAGATCCCGAGGTGCTTTATGAAGAATATACTCAGACCATCCATCAGATCTTCTTCTTTGACGACCTCACCGCGCGCCATATCGTCGAATGATAAAAATCCACGCCTGGCTAAGACAATCACCAACTTTTCTTTTTATTCATGAACTAATTACCTTCGGTAATTGGGATGATATTTAATTTATACCTATTACTGCTTCCTACCTTCAATCGGTTTTCAATTAATCCATTATTTCCAGATACGAGTCTGAATCCTTTATATTGGACGAGTAATGAAGTTAAAATATGTATCAGCAGAGAGAGGATGTTTTTTTTTTCCAATGACTATATCCTCATATTAGGAAGTAATGACAGAAATTGATTTTCTGTGGATATTCTTTTTCGCAATTTTACAAAAATAATTACTACTAATTCATATCTGTGACATCTGTAAAAAGTGTGTTAAGTGCGATGTTGTGAATTTTGTTTGTTTGGTTACGATAATTTGGTGTGAGCAAAATATGACTCATTAAACTATAATAGTAGAGTAATAGTATGGGCGGATCTACGGGGGAGGAGAGGGGGGAGAAGGGAGGAAGGAGGAAGAGGAGAAAGAGTTTTCGGGCTGACTATTTCTTATGAAATAATTTTTTTTTTAAATTTATTAAACGATATTTACATCTGTATAAACAATACAACTAGTAAAAATGCACACATTAGAAATCAAGACTTGAAGAGATACTGCCCAGTGGTAGCACTCCCTATTTAATTGTAGCTGAGAAGATCACGAGGCCATCTTCTTTTCAGACGTCTAGGAGGATTATCAGGAATCGAGGAAGAAGCAATGCTGGAAACAAGTGGATTCGGATGGAACTGGAGTTTATCATGGAAGGTATCTGGCTCGGGCTAAATCAGCGGGATATGGAACATTAAGGTCTTTATGAATGGTTTTATTTGTGATAAAATATGGAGCATTAAGGATTTTGGATTGTAAGGATTGGATACGATAGAAAGTCGATGATTTAGTAGAGCCCCAAAGATCAAATCCGTATGTCCATATAGGTCTTATTAAAGTAGATGAGTTTTTTGTAATTAATTGAAAGTTTGGAGCGTTTGTTTATTAAGTGTTATAGAAGTCGGAAACGATTATGAAATAAAAATTTAATAATTATCTCTAAAAGTATTATTGTTCGTGCAATTACATTTAATAGTACTTAAAGAATAACTTAAATTCTATTTCATATATGAAGTTAGTTTCTTTCTTTTTCTTTCTCAGTAATTATCTTTATATATTTTTAACATATTTTCTGCTGAAGCTCCTCCCCCCCCCCCAAAAAAAAACTAAATCCTGGATCCGCTAGTGAGTAATAGTGCGCTAGATATTGTAAGAATTGGTGTGGACTGTATGAGGTTGGATCACTGGAATTTAACATTTATAGATTCAACATGTATACATATTGTATCTAATGGATATAATCAGGAAAAAATGAAATGTGTGCACTTGTACAATTTTTCTGATTGAAAGATGATTTTTTTTTTTTTTAAACACATTTAGAATATTACAATTACAGAAATATTACAATTTGTCACAGTTAAGGACTTATAGTCCTTATAGAGTTCATAAGGACTTATAGAGTTCAGAGAGTACATTCATACCGTATATACAAAAATATAAATAAATAAAGTAATAACAAAAGAATAAGAAAAAAGAACAAAAGAGAAAAGAAAAAAAAATATATATACACATAAGTAAATAAAAATAGAAATAAAAATAAAACAAACATCTTATATAAAACATACCTATATACATTATTTACAATTTGCCAGGTGATCTCCGAACCAATCCTGTCCCCTCCACATGTGGAGGGAAAAGGGAGGCTTAGGAGATCCCTACGCTTCTCCCTCAGCCACTTCACTGGTGAAAGATGAATTAAATATGGTGAAATCACAATTTTGTAGTATGGCATTGCCATGTTGGAAGTGACTTTGCTTCAGATTAAAATTGTATAGTTAATTTAGACCACTAGCGGATCCAGGATTTAATTTTTTTTTTGGGGGGGGAGGCTTCAACCCGAAAGCTTTTTTTTTCATAAAAATAACGATAATTACTTTGGAAAAAAGAAAGAAACTAACTACCTATATGAAATGATGTTTAAGTGATTCCTAAAGTCCTTTTAAATGTAATTACACGAACAATAATACTTTAAGAGATTTTTTTTTTTCATAAAAAATAGTTATATTTTACCATTTTGGGGAGAGAGAGCTTCAGCCCTAAAGCCCCCTAGCGTAAATCCGGCGGTGAATTGGACTCATTTGATGTCTGAAATTTAACTTCATTTCTTGGTCTCCTCTTCTTCCTTTCCATATTTCCTCCTCCAAGCTGTTTCCTTGGGATTTAGCAAATCATTTTTTTCTAGAACAGGTTTTGGTCAAATAAAATGAGAGTGTGCACACTTTACCAATGACTGGGATTAACTAAGCAGGAAATTTTACATCAAAATGGAGGCCGATAAAATGGTGGTGAAGTCCGGAATTATATAGAACTGTTTTCTTCATTTTTCTGTGTTTCAAGGGTTGATCCCTGAACATCGGGTTATGAGTAAGGTGACCAGATTTTAACATCGGTAAAGCAGGACACCGTTGACCGAGGGAAGGGGAGAGGAGATAAGTTGGTAAAGCGAGACACCATTCACCGGAGTTACAGGCGCACCTACGAGGGGGTGAACATTCGGGTTGAAGCCCCTCCCCAAATGGTAGAATATAACCATGTTTTAAAGAAAAAATATTAAAAACTATCGCTTATAGTGTTATTGTTCGTGTAATTACATTTAATAGAACTTCAAGAATCGCTTTAACACCATCTTATAAAGGCAGTTAGTTCCTTTCTTTTTTTTTCAAATTAACTATCGATATATGTATGAAAAAAATAGCTTTCGGGCTGAAGCCATATCAAAAATTAAATCATGAATTTGCTAGTGACCGGAAAGGAGGGAAAAGTTCTTGATTAAAATTTGATTCATTCATTAAGTACAAACAATAGTTCAAATTTGTTGTTACAATAATTAATTTTACATAATGATAAATTAGGGAGAAAACGTCAATACGACCAATAGTCCAGGGTACAGACTCCTTTTTATCAAATTATTAACATCCGCCAAAAACTTCTAAAATAGCTCCACCTCATCGTAATCTACAACTATTTTATTTACGAAAACTCTTGAAATAGGAGCGTTTTCGATCTGGAGATCGACAAATTTTGTCTATTTAATTAGGTACTAAAAACTCGTAAATATCTGTTGTCTTTCCAATTAGATCGTAAGGCATTTATATAAAAAAAATTAGACAAAAAGTGGCCTACAAAAATATTGAGCCATTTGTCCTATATAACCTTGTTATTTTGAAATGTTGAGGGTGTAAGTCACGCCAAACGGTCCAATGATTTTGTAAGCCACCATTTTTTTCGATTTTGCCATCTAACTATCTCACGATTCAAGTGAAAAGCAAACAAATATTTATTAGTTTTTAGTAAATAATTAAATAAACAAAGTTTGCCGCCAAAAAAAATGTGGATAACCGTTGATATAAAGTGCCACTTCGGGTTAGTCGATTTTAGCGAAAAAGTTGCTGTAACATCCAATATCAGTTTCGTTTTTAAGCTAGACTGATTACGTACACGCACTAGCGGATCCAGGATTTGATTTTGGGGGGGCTTCAGCCCGAAAGATTTTTTTTCATATATATAACGATAATTAATTTGAAAAAAAAAAAGAGAAAGAAATGAACTACCCATATGAAATGGTATTTAATGTGATTTTTGAAGTCCTATTAAATGTAATTGCACGTACAACAATACTTTAAGAGATAATTTTTAATATTTTTTCTATAAAACGTGGTTATATTTTACCGTTTTGGGGGGCTTCAGCCCGAAAGCCTCCTCCCCCCCCCGTAGATCCGCCTGTGCGTACACGCACACACAGACAATTTTACAGGACTTGGTTATTTAGACTCAGGTGAACTCGAAACGTGTATTTCCGTTGAAAACTTAGATTCGAAAATGTTCACTTTTCCTCATTATATTCTACATATATAGGTAAGTGAAAGTAAAAATCATGCAATAAAAGTAGTAACCTTGTGTGTGAGAAGTTCTCTTAATTTCATATTTTTGAACAGTTTTTAAAATTTTATCAAAGATACTTTCGCGAGCCGGATTAAAGGTGCTTGCAGGCCGTAGTTTAGAGCTCTGGATTGTGTGGTATGGTCTATAACCACGTCAACGATTGCTGATTTTTTACTAAGTTTGTCAAAAACTGAGTAAATTACTATAAATGGCCCTGTAGCTTGGAAATGAGTTTCCAAAGAGAAAAAATCCGTAGAATAAAAGTTGTAGAGCATCGAATTCCGCATTCCCTGAGTACCAACATGCTTTATGTTACGTTGGAAACTCATTTCCAAGCTGCAGGATCATTTATAATGATTTGCTCAGTTTTTGACAAATTTGGTAAAAATCAGCATTCGTTGACCATACCGCTTTACCAAATGGTTAAGTTTAGATACTTATTCATAATTTAACGTTCTTCAATTTCTTAAATAGTACGTTTTTCGCTTTGATGCACCATTTACTAAGTTATAGTAACTGCTGATGAAACTATATTCAAAATGAAGGAGAACTATATACAATACAAATGAAACAAAATAAACACTGTTTAGCTACAAAAAATAAAGAAAAAAATAATAAAAAGAAATAAAACAGATAGGTCCAAACAATAAATAAAAATTAATTAATTTCTCTAGTAAATTAGTAAGAACAACTAACATAAAGTAAAATATAAAGAAATAAAGATTTATATATTCTATTTTGGTAAGAATTAAAACATTTATAATAAAAATAAATAAATTAAACAAATTTAAGAGGACAGTAATCTTGTAGAACAGCTATGACACAGTATAAAAAATATATGTACAGGTTCATATGTACACATAAGAATATACACAAGTGCAGGAAAAGTAATGAAAAAAAAAATACATAGATAAAGCATTGGTTTTTAATCTGTTTTAAATAGGAATTGGAATAGAAGGGTTTTAAAATTGGATAAGGAATTAAAATCTTAAAGTTTTTAAGGTTTTGAAACCTCTTCTGAGTCCCTAAATTAAATTGGTTGAAAATTTGTTTCTCAATTGAGCTAGTGTTGAGAAGTGTTTTTTGGATATCTCAACCTTTACTTCCACCCACGCCATTAATGAAACAATTAAAGTAATTTTTATGTTTTCAGGAAAAAAAAGAGATAGAAATGTACATTAATGTGGGATAGAATTTAAAAAAAAAAAATATCTCAAACTTCTGCAATCTGGGACTAGTCAGTCTGTTGGTCTATTATAGGTTTTTTTTTTTGTTAGTGAGATGTTTAAGGCATAATACCCTGAGATCATCAATGTCTGAGGGAGGGGGGGAGGAGGGTCAATTGTTTTTGTAGACTTGGCATCTAGTTCACAATTCACTCCAGGATCATTCCTAGAACATGAGATGATTAATGTTGCAACTAACTTCTTATTAACTTGTAATATTACTCTAACGAAAAAAAAAAGTAGCACAATGAAAGAGAATAATCCGTGGTACAGACCCATTTTTATCGAATTATTAACATACGCCAGAAACTTCGTAAATAGTTTCATCTCATGATAACCAAGAACTATTTTATTTACAAAAACTCATGGAATTGGGGCGTTTTCAATCTGGAGGGGGGCAAACTTTGTCTATTTAATTAAATACTAAAAACTCGTAAATGCACATTTGCTTCCTACTTGGATCGTAAGATAATTTGATAATATAATCGAGAAAAAAGGTGCTCTTCAGAAATATTGAGCCGTTTGGCGTGACCTACACCCCTAAATTTTCAAAATAACGAGGTTACATAGGACAAACGACCCAATATTTTTGTAGGCCATCTTTTGTCTAAATTTTGTGATATAACTATCTTACGATCCAACTGTAAAGAAAAAAGGTATTTACGAATTTTGAACAAAATTAAAATTTAATAGAAGTGAAATCACAGACACATAAAATAAACACTAACAACAACAATCAAAATAGTCAGATAAAACATTTAGATCCAAAGGTCAAATTTTCACTATGGCAGAAACCCAATTATTGGTCAAAAGGAGAATGTTGCTCCAGATGATAAATTATAGAGCATAAATTAGAAAATTGACGATGGAGCACAGTATTATTATTATTAGAATTAAGGTAATTACAAATTTATTGTAACAAACATAATACAAATATGTAATGTAACAAGCACAATATTGTAACTTAAAAAATTTTTAGCCTTGCATCCACAAGAGTATTGGAATTGCAGTTCTGAAGATGGGAATAAAAGGTCCCGAAACGTAAACTAGACTGTTAACATGTAACGTTAAAAATATACTCGAATTGTTAATAATTGGAAGTTATTATTGCCAAGCAACTAAAATCTTTTTTATCGATTTTGTGATCAACTTATCTTACAATCCAAGTAGAAAGCAAATGGGCATTTCCGAGTTTTTAGTATATAATTAAATAGACAAAGTTTGTCCCCCTCCAGATTGATAACGCTCCAATTCCAAGAGTTTTCGTGAATATGATAGTTGTAGATTAGGATGAGATGAAGCTATTTACAAAGTTTTTGGCGGATGTTAATAGTTCAATAAAAAGGGGTCTGTACCATAGACTAGAATGGAACGGTGGACAGAAACAACAATATAACGTATAAAATTATTCATTTATTTTTATTAAAAGAAGAGGACATTTCATAAAATATATCATATACAAATTATACACTTCTGAACAATTCTTCATTTTATGAAGAATTACTTTCAAGCAATGGACCCTGTAATTTTTTTTGATTAAATATGTGGAAGAAATAAATATATTCTTTAGTACAAAATTAATACTATTTATTTGTACAAAATTAATGCTTTTAAACCATTATTTTGGGCAGTGATGTTAAAACGTATACAAAAAATTACAGTATAAAATGGCCACATTAAAGCTCACTTTTTTTTTTCCTATGGTCGTCTGATAATGTTTAAGAAGACATTTCCTTAATGTTTTGTAATAGTTACATTATAAATTATTTTAATTTATAAAAATATACTAATGATCTTATGTATAATTATTTATACATAATTGAATAATTTTTTCATTATTTAAAAAATAAATAATTTATTTTTCTAGAACAATGGACACTTATAAGTACTTAACGAAATTATTCAACACTAAGTATCTGATAACAATAAGTACTTCAATAAAATTATTTGATAACACTGGTAATTTATATTAAATATCATTTGCCTTTTAAGTAACAAAATAATCCTATTATTTTACAAGGAACTTTGATTATGCATAAATATAAACAATAACATGTTCAACATCACTTAAAGCAATCATCACGAAAGGATTAACACAGATTAGCTTTTAATACTTTTATATTCTCTAAAAATATTTTAGAGAAGAATATATATATTCTATCTACAACTTTCTACTATAAAAAAAAGACAAATATAATTAAAAACATAGACAATCACAGGGATTACTTAGTTGCGAGCACCTATCGCTGATCAAATGGACCATTTTAAGCGATTTAAAAAAATAATAAAATAAATAAACAGTAACCTTGACAAAAACAAGGTTGAAAAATGGCTTCCACAACTTTTCACACAAGCCCTGCATCGTGAGCCATGCCATGGAAAACTGAAGTTCTATTTCTGAGAAGTTCATTTGGGCCGTCGAACTCCACAACTTGACCCTGGTCTAGAACCAGCACTCTGAAAATTTCATTAAAATATTTTCATAATTTTTTTTTTGTTGTTAGTAAACTGAAATTTTTTTTTACATAAAAATAAATAGATCCTTATTTATAAATGACAAACTTGATGTTTCTAGCCCTAATATTTACGTCTTTATGAAAATAATTGACACAATCAGTAGGTTTCTTTATTTTAAACGTAAATTTTAGTAAGAAACATTAAGTTTGTCACTTATAAATATGGATCAATTCCTATGACAGAGATCTGGTAGAAAAACAATTTTCATTACCACTTTACATGAAAAATCATTTTTTTAAAATTTTTTTAGTTGTAAAAATAATATGTGTTTTTAGGCAATTATGTTTATTACAATACATCCCATGTCATAGGAAAACAATAAATAAAAGCTTTGCTACTGTTAATTGTAGTCATTTATGCTGAAAACACGGGTACTTTTAGGAGACTCGATAGAAAATCACACCATTTCTTTACACATCTTGAGGTAAATCTCAAAATTTAATAAACCTCAACTTAATTGTCATGGTGAAAGAACCATTCCCCTGTATGCTGCCAGACATATTTTTTCGATATTTTTTTGTTTTTTCATCTGTACTCCTAAATAGTGCATCGTAGCGAAATACGTTTTCTTTAAAAAATTAAAGAATATTAAATTTTGCATTGAACGAGTACCTAAACTTAATAATTTGGTTAAGTGGTATGGTCGATAACCATGGTCAACGAATGCTAATTTTTATTAAATTCGTCAAAAACTGAGACAAATTACTATTAATAGTCCTGCAGCTTGGAAATGAGTTTTCTAATAAAAAAATCTGGTGCGCGCATCACACGACTTTCACTTACCACCCTCTTCTTAGCAGAAATAAGTATTTTCAGACAAAGGGGAAGTGAAAGTAAAAATTATAGATGCTATATTTATTCACATTTCATTGTGGGTATTTTTATTTGTTTAAATACTCTTATATAGACAAATTTAAATTTTTATATTGCTATATGCTATACAATTAAATATTAAATAATACCAACGATAGAATTTATGAAAACTGCATATGTATATATATATATAATATTGTAGGAGTCCGAGCTCGTATTCCTTTGGTTCTTCCATTACTATTATCCGTTACAATCTCTTATATCTCATTTAGTTAATAATCAAATTCTTTCATATTTTATATTTAACTATTTTTTGTATCAAAGATTAATGTGAAATGGTTAATTGTTTAAAAATAAAAAAAATAAAGGTACTTTAGCGGAAGCTAATATTGAAAATTAGCCATTTAAGCTCTGTTAGAGAACAACAATGAGAATAAACTTACATTTTATTAAAAACTGTTTAACAATATACTGATATACTGAATTTAATCAAAATCGTTAGAGCCGTTCTTGAGAAAATCATAAAAATGTGTTAAATTGATTATATAAAGTACCACTTCTGGTTAGCCGATTTTGATGAAAATGTTGCAGTAACATCCAAGGATTATAAAAAGCTGAAATATGCAATTTCAGTTCCGTACGGCTTTTTGTTTTTGAGCAAGACTGTTTACATACATACACACACACAGACCATTTTGCGGGACTTGGTTATTTGGACTCAGGGGACCTCAAAACGTGTATTTCCATTGAAAACTCAGATTAAAAAAATTTCAAGATCGCAATACTTACCCTTACTATACATTACATATATAGATAAGTGAAAGTAAAAACTCATAGAATATAAGTTGTACAGCATCTAATTCCGCGTCCACTGAGTACCTACAATTTTAATGTAGCCTAAGTATATAAGCCCCTAAAGTCAACGCTTCCTTACTTGAAACTTGAAAATCAAACATTAACATGTGTTATGCTTCGGGCATCCCCATCAGCTGTTTTAAAAGTTTCTGCAAACTTTTTCCCAACATAAAACAAAATTTCACAGCTGGCAGTCAGCTATCTCAAGTTTTTGCCAAAATAAAAAAAAGTTGTTTTACTAAAATTAATTCTCATGGATGAACTAGATTCACCACAGTCCCATTCCCAGAACTTTTGAGTCCTCCCCTCATACTTTCCTTACTTAGAAGCAATACAAAAGTAAAAAAAACAGGAAGATTTCAATAATGTATTATCTTTAAATATATTTTAAGATTAACATTAAGTTGATATTACAGTTTATAATAAGTACATGTGTTACCTGTCAGAATCCATAATTGTATTAATTCTATGTGCTATCGTTAGCACTGTGCAATCATAAAACTCAGATCTGATCGTCTTCTGAATGAAGTCGTCAGTTTCCAGGTCGACTGCTGCCGTAGCTTCGTCCAAGATCAAGATCTTAGTTTTACGGAGGAGAGCTCGAGCAAGGCAAATAAGTTGTCTTTGCCCCACACTAAATAAGAAACAATAATATAATATTCATATGTATGTAAAACAGGGTGGGAACCAGACATTTAAAGTAAAATTTACTGGCTTTTCTCTGACATTTTCCTATTTAAGGATAGTTTTTCCTGACCAATATGTCTGGGTATATATATATTGAAAATGTATATTTTCTAACTAAATTTATTTATTATGAACGAAATAAAATTGGCTACAAAATGATTTGAGTAAAAACAAAATCAGTTTTTTAAATAACAAATATAATGTTTTAGAGGAAGCTTTTTTTAAGCTGGATTAGGATTTTTTATTTTAGAATAATACACTTTTAGTAATTTATTTTTATCGCCTTCATTTTATTTTCATAAACTGAGAGGAGATAAAAGTTGATGCTAGACATATAAAGCTCTGATTTTCTCTATTATAAAATAAAGATAGCTATCGGGGATTCTAATATTAATGTAATTTAGTTTCTTTATTACTATAGACAGCATAATATCTATACATATGACATCAACTGTGACATTTATGGTTAATAAATGCTTTTTTAAGGAGCACCACGGGACGAACGAACGAATGCTTGCCAGCCAGATCTTGACCCAGATGTATATATTACAAATAGTAAATAGTACTGATATGTTTTTCTTTTCAAAAAGTATTGTTTTAAGTCTATTTTTCTAAAACTTTGTTCATTACTCTTGTTTGATTTCAATATAACTAGCATGCCCGTGCAAAAAATTCACACAACATATTTTTATCAAATGCCAAATTAATAAGAAAATAAAATAATGCAACGTATCAAAAGGTAAAGACATCAAATGTTACTTTACCGATAAATATAATCGACAAAGGAAAAAAAATTAATTTAAATTTTCATTTATGTTTACAAATTTCAGTAAGCTGTATCCTTGCTAAAAATTGTCCAATTTTGATGATTTTTTTTTCCTTTTGTAGAGAAATTAGTAATCTTTTATATAATAATGGGTATGACCAAGAGAAAATTGTGTACTTTTTTAGTTATTCGCAAATAAAGTTTGTTTTCTTTCATAACTTGTTTGCGTGAATTTTCCGGGTGATTGGACTATTTTGCCCGCCTGAAGGAGAAGGAAGCCTTCGAAATTGGTGGCTCAATCTTGAGATTTGGTGAAAAATTAACGATGATATGGCTTGCCGATCAAAAACACCATCGATAAATAATATAAACTCCTCCTCTCTCGATCAGACCTCAAGTCGACAAAATGAGACATGTATTCAATGACAGTAACACAATTAATGTAAGGATGTGTGGATGCGAACCCTATGCCTTGCGTTATCTCGAAAATAGGAAGTTTTGGGGCTTAAAAACGCAGATTCCGATAGTTCCGGGGGAACTATCCGGGTCTTGCTAAACGCATCAAAATCTTCAAGATGCAATTTTTCCCGTTTCGATCTACAGACCTACCACCGTTCCAGTATTGAAGCCTAGCAAAATGTTTGTATCGACTTTATTTATTTTAGAAAGAAAAACAAAAGTGGAGAATACGATTCGCCAACCCCCCGTGAAATTCTGAATCCAACGGAACCCCATTCATGGTATTTGAGTATGACAGGAGCTTATGTTTGGTACAAAACCAATTTCGAGCCTTACTGTAATAATATATGTGGGGATGACCAGTGCTGTTATTGACAGTGAAAGGTGGATGATATAGCGACCGTGGTTGTTTATAATGACGAAGTTTACTCCTTCAAGGCCATTATAAAATATATCCACTGTATATTTATTTCCAATTTGAAAAAATATTTTCGCACTAAAAAAATTCCCAGGTTGGTCACCACTCTGTAAAATCACCATTATAAAACTTAAAACAAAATTTATCTCAAATGCCTAATAAAATATCTGTAAAGACTTCACAAGCTTATAGCTGAACGATAGACTAATTTATAATATTTCTAAGTCAACTCAAATTTTTTTTTTTTTTTTTAAATGGCTCACCTTATATTCTCACCACCTTCAGTTACTTCATACTGTAAACCCGCAGGCAATCCTTTAACAAATGGTTTGAGATGTGCAAGTTCTAGAGCTCTCCAGACTTGTTCATCACTGTAGCAACCAAAAGGGTCAAGATTCATACGTAAACTTCCAGAAAACAGGACGGGATCCTATAAAATTAAAATAAAACATAAATAAGGAAGCTCATCATTGAAGGGATGATATCAAAAAATTAGTTACCACATGTTGATAGGAGGCAAAGCTATATGATGATCAGAAATAACTAATTACTCAAAGCTATATTTTAATTTTATAAACTAGATTGTATTTTTTTTGTATTTTGTTTTAAAAAAATAGTATTTCATTACCTGAGGAATGATAGTAAGTCTGGATCTTAAAGCATGCAGTCCCAGTTTAGAAATATCAATCCCGTCAATGAGAATCTTCCCTCCAGCGGATTCAATTATTCGGAATAAACAAAGTGTTATCGATGATTTGCCAGCACCAGTACGACCCACAATACCAATCTGGAAAAAAAAATGTATTAAAAATAATATATATACTGTGCCACCACAGTCCAGAGAGGGTCTTTTATCCAGTACTTTGTAAGGTAATACCATTTCTAGGTCAATCGCCAGGTTTTTCCTGTTAATCAATTATTTAATTAAAAGAACTCCCCTCAGTAGAGGCTGTGTGTGCACAAGATCCAAGGCTGATTAAAAATTTGAATTGAATAAATTATCAGATCCCGATTATATTTAAATAGAACCTACCTGAAAGTATATCCTTTTTGTTAAGAATCATAGAAATCTGTTCAAGAATGGTTAAGTTATGAATGAACTTACAAAAAAAAAGAAAGTCTTATTGAGAACCTCCTTAAGTCGGTTAAAATTATACTACACACGATTTTACATAAATATTATTTGATTAATGTATACAATATGATTGTAGCCATTTTTCAGAAAATATTTTACATCAAGATGATTATAAGTTTTATTTAATTTACTTTTGTTTAACAATTTTTTTTTTTATTCTCTTAATAAATTATTTCTATCTTTACTGTTTGGGGGACTAATGGAAAAAGTATACTTACTAATTAAAGTTTGCAACTTTGCAGAAAGCTTCCAAATACCAAGCTCTAAAAAATGAACTATAAAATGAAATGTGAATTCCAGAAATTTGTAAATGCACTACAATATCATAATTATTATCAAAGTTGGCGAGAAAAATTCCACACTTTTCAGCTTACACCAATTGGCTAGATCCTGTAATGCAGTTTTCCGGTTCCAGACTTCAAGGAGTTTTATTTTTCGTTTTTTTTTTTTTTTTGTAATTTGCCACAATGATTCCAAAACACTATATTTTTGCTTTATCTGCATATATGGGTCTATGAAATTTTCAATTGGATGACATTTAGAGGTAGATGGTAATGCAAAGTTCCGATAATCATTCTAGGGTAAACTGTGACTTTTTCTTTTGTGTGTTTTTTCTTGGTAGACTACAAAGGTTTGATAATCAAATTAATGAATAAAAAAGACAATATATTTTATTAAAAATATTTGTAGAACAGATTTAAACTATCATAAATAACATTTTCAAAGGTTTACAGAAGAGTAAAAAAGAATTTCCAGATTTCACTTTATAGATTGTTATGTATATTAACCAATCTATACATTTTTTAGCTTATCTTCAATACTTATATTAGAAAAATAAGGCCACAATAATGCAAATGCAATAACAAAACTAAAATCAACAAAATTATAATTAAATAGTTTGCCTCTGACATACAGATGTAGCACAATTTTAATCTTATGATCAAAGAAAATATACTCACTAATTACAAAGATGTGAGAGTAAAAATAAGAAACATGAGTTGAGCCTTGCGAATAATTCACATAGAATATTGTTCAGTAAAGAAATGAAAAAAATGCAGCAAATTATTTCACAATGGTTTATTATTCCCAAACAATTACACATCTAAAGCAACATTACCTGTTTAGTTACAAAGAAAATAAATAAAAGGTGATTCCAATTATTGGACTAAACTTTTTTTTTTAATCAATAGTAATATGGAAGAAAAATTAGCATTGTTAGCATTACTTCAGTAGCACATTCAAAATTCAAAACCCAAAACAAAGGACTTTGCAGTAGAACATATAAAAAAAAAAAAAAAAAAAACCATATCTTTGCTCCTAATTGTCCAATTTTAACAATTTTGTTTTTCAGGAAATTCCATGAAATTTTAAAAAACTAATTCCACGAAAAGTGTATACTTTTTGAGTTATTCGGAATTTAATTTTACCATCCCTCATAACTTTTTTTGCAGCTTCTTTTCGTTGAAGTATGTTATATAGATAAATTTAAAGGGCGTCAAGAAAAATACTTTAGCAAAGTTTTGAAGTTTCTTTGAAATCGGTACATTCTTTTAGGCGCTACAGTCTATAGCAACACAGGTTTTTCGGCCGCCATTTTGAAAGTAAAAGGCGGATAGTAATGTCGATGAAGGAGGATCATCCTAGGGATACCTCTGATTTTATATGCAAATTTGAAAAAAATCGGTCCAGTAGTTTTGGAGAAAATGCATGGACGGCGTACGGATTAGGGACAAAAAAATTGTATTCGTTTTTCGTATTCTACGTATCCTGAAACGTAAAACCTCAAATTTTGAGAGGGGATTAAGTTTTTGAATTTTTTGGTCGATCACAATGGTTCATTATTGAAAATAATAAACCAATAGTAAGGAAATGAAATAATGCAACCATCATAAGATGAAAGAATCAATTCATATTTTCTCGGTAATTGCGATCGACCGAGAAACAAATTATTTTAAAGCTTCATTCATCTTTTAAACCACCATGTTCAAAAATTACAATTACATATATCTTTGATAATAATGGTCCAAATTCCACATTTTGTTTTTTGTTTTATAAGGATTTTAGTTCTTCTTCAAATAATCATGGGTACAATCGATAAACAATGTATACTTTTCAAGTTATTTAGTAGATAAAGTTTCTTTTCCTTCATAAATGTTTTTCCTGAAATTTTGGGAGGACATGACTTTTGAGTTATGATCTGAAGGACAAGATCTTCAAAATTAAGGCTCAATGGTTTTGATTGGATTTGATAAAGATATGACAAATCCACAAAAAAAAAAAAAAAAAAAAAAAAACCTTTGCAGAATAATATATAAAGATTACCTTTTCACCACCTTTGATAGCCAAATTGATTCCTCTAAGTACTAAGTCCAGTCCTTCCCGATACCTCACTTTGTAATCGATGAATTCAACTTTACCTTCTTGAGGCCAATCTGATCCTACCAGACTAGGGATGATTTCCCAAGCTGCTTCCTGAGATAACAGAAAGAAGTAATTTAAGTCAGATGTTTATCATATTATATAGCTGTGATTTTTATAATTAACATTTCAAAACAGGTCACAATCCTGAAAGATGTTGGAAAATAAGTGAAATACAATGTCGATAACCTATACTAATCCAAAAAAGAAAAAAAAGTGTAAATTTTACTGTAAAATTTCTTTATACCAACTTTATGTTTCATAATAGAAATGCCAACTACAGAAGTCTTATACTTTTAAGGAACTTGCGAGGTCAGGTGTTTTCTTTAGCAACAAAATAAACTAACATTATATGATAATTTTCAGAAATAATTTTTTAGTTTGCAATGTGTTTATATTTAGATACATATATTTTCATTACATTTTGCAATTTTTCCATTATTTTAAATTCAACCTTTGATAATCTAAACAGGCCATGGAATCTACATGTTCGGACTATCAAGATTGTAATATCGGTACCAATAACATAATATTGGTATTAATAACATAATACTGGTTATCAATAATATAATAGTGGTTAGATATTTTAGTAAATCATTAATGCAAACAAAAAAAATTTACCTGGGGTGTTTCAGTATATTCCTTGATTCTCTCAACTGCTACAATATTATTTTCAACTTCTGCGGTCATGTTGACTAAAGCGTTTAGGGCTCCTGTTATCTACAAATAACATGGAAGAAAGATAAATAAATAATGAAAATATTATATTGAAATTCTAAAATATATGAGATTTTCCAGAAACAGTTGAGAATTTATCATACCTGCAATGTGTAACTGACAGAGAGCCCCACTATTCCTGGACTTAAAGAATCTTTTCCAAGTACAGCAAAAACTGTTGCGAAGAAAATTATGAGGTTTCCAATCATCTGTAGCCTCACTGCAAGCCACCTAGCGTTATATTGTAATATTAAAAAGAGACAAATAAATCAGATAACACGGTTATTGAAAGATGTATAAAAACTGTGGAAAAGTAACAACTCCACCAATGATAATGAACAAAGAATCAGGAAGAGGAATAGAGAAGGAAGAAAAGCAACTGCAATGCTCAATATCTTTGAAGCTCAAATAGACAGACGAGTACAAAGATGGTAATAGACAAATCTACAATCGAGGCTATGGCAACATATAGCTCTGGGATCATTGATGCAAGGTACCGAAAAATACTGCTAATGGTAGAAATAGACTTTTAGAAAAGAGCAGTGAGAAAATTCAGAATGGAAAAATTAAAAATGACTGATGTAAGTGAAAAGAAGCATTCTTGTCAATATTAAATAAAAAAAAGTAATCTGGTTTGAAAATGTTGAGGAATGTCTCAAGAAACATTACTGAAGATATGTATTGAACTGGAAATATATAAGAAGGAAAAAAGAAAAAAAAAACCAAAGGTAAAATGGAAAGGAGAGGTGCAAGAAAGACTGATGGGACATGGGATCAGAGAACAAGTCTTGGATAGAGAAGAATGGAAAAATATCTTGAAAGATATTTAGGTCAAAGAAAACCACAGTAGAGGAAATTTTCTTCATAAAAAAAATAAATAAATACAAAGTATTTTGCTTTTTCATATATATTTCTTTGTTTCTAGATCATCTTGAAGGACTTATAACAGTTCAAAATAAATAATAAGTAATAAATTATTTTTACTGCATTTTAATTAATAAAAAGGGGTGTCTATAAAAATGACATGTATAGAAAAATTAAAAAAAAAAAAAAAAAAAAAAGAGGAAATATTGAATGATAATGTTGAGTTCTGAAGCTCATCCTGAGTTGACTATTGACTTGGGCACCAGATAGAAAAAAAAAAAAAAAAAAAAAAGGCACGAGAAATATAATAGAAAATAGAAATAGAAATAGAAAATAACTTTATTCTGGGACAAAGTCCCTTTAGAATAACAAAATAGAATATAATTAAAATACTACATCTGGCCAAAATAAAACAATAATAAAAAAGAGAAAGTAAAGAAAATATTAGTTAATCAAGCTATATACAAAAAAACAAAAACAATTATATACAAAACACTTAAAACTATGATAAAACACTTAAGACTATGTACAGTAGGAAAAATTATAATTATACTCTTTTGAAAAATAAAATAATAAAAAATACATTGAGTTCTTCTTTAAAATGAGGTGTGTTTCTGCTAACAAAGAAAAGAAAAGACAAAGCTGACAGTATAAAATATCAGTGTCTTTAAATGATGATTAATATGTAGACTCATCATTGTCAAATGCTAGCTATAGGTACAGATTTAATTATATACGAATAAAAAAAACTAAAAAAAAATAAACAAACAATAGATGCAGTTATATGCGAAATATATAAGGGGAAACATTGCAAATGGTTGACAGTCATCAAAATAGGAGGGCTGTTCTAGTTTTCAATAAAAGTTTTATTTTTTTATTTGAGGCAATGCGTATATGAAATTTATGTAAGATCATACATATTTTAAAAAATATAATAAAAACTCATAATAATTCGATTTTTTTTTCTTTCCTCTTGATAATCCGATGTCTTGATAATTTTAATTTTTCTTGTAGTTCTTTGGATATCGAATCATCAAGAGTCCACTGTTTATAAAATTTTTTTTAGGATGATTTCAAGTTTGATACACAGAGATTCGAATATATCTCAAAATTTATTGCTGAAATATAAGTTAAAAAGTTAAATTAAAATAATATGATGACCTACCTACTGGCGATTATTCCTGAATAAGTCGAAATTTGGTTTTCGTCAATTTTGAGTTCAGATTCTTTTATGAATCTTCCCTGAACGCAATAGGCCCTAATGACAGGAGCTCCTGAAGCAAGATATTATTTATTAATAAACTATTTTATTTTATTTTTTTTATTTCTTTATAAGAAACAAATGAAAATTCTGATTATTTATCATAAAAAAAAAAATAATTAAGATACCTGAAATACTTTCACTAAAATGTGAAAAAACTGGTGACCTTGAGACAGATTCTATTCTTCTTAACTGCTGGGATGTAGCAATATAAAATTTCTGTAAAATTAAAATTTTTAATTTTAATCTTGTTATAATTAAAATATATTTGTGGCAATTAAATATAAATATACCACAGATCAGATTACAATACCTGTAAGAAATAATAGAGAATTCCAACTGGTAAAATCAAAAACGTAAATATTGGTGTCGAGTAGCAGATGACAATAAAAGTTCCAATGACCTACAAGAAAAAATTAAAAATACAAGAAAACTTGTGTAGAGTAAATTGAGTTTTAAAGATTTTAATGTATTTTTGGAACTATACTGATACCTGCATTTAAAAGACCAAATGCACCATTTCTGAGATAAACCTTAATTCTTGCCAAATGTCTCTTAAGTATTATGGGATACTTATCACATGTTTAGGTTTTAAAAATTAAATATTGTCATTTATTTAAATAAATTGTTTAAAATGTTAATAATTTAAAAACAAAGTTATTCCAAAGAAGAAGAAAAATAAACTTACCGGCGAAAGAAAAGAGAAAACCTGTTTCATAACCAAAGGTATCAAATTATCTAGTACATCTATCTCTTTTGAGAAACGGTTGAGTATTCTTCCTTGTGGTGTAGTATCAAAAAACGACATCGGAGAACGCATGATATTCAATAACAATATATGATGCAACAATATTCCAGCATTAACACAACCCATATACCAAGCGAGGGAACAGAAGAATGTTGCAATAGCTGAAAATGAACCATCAATGTAATTAACGATCATAAAGAATTTTTAAAAATTATTCTTGCATGGAAAAAGATGAAAATAAAAGAAAGAGAAGTTTAACAAACAGTATGTTATTTATTTATTTTTTTATTAAATTATATTAAATTTAATTGCACAGATAAAAGGGATGGGGGAGAGCAAGACTGATTTGTGTAAGGTTGGCTAATTGCTTTTTAAACTCAACACCAATAGCTTCAGAGCTCCACCTTCTATCGAAATGATGTGCGACCCTACAACATTACAATATTACTGAGATTTCAGTGTCGTGTGAGCTACCAAGAAAAAACTCAAAGTTAGTTTTTCCAGTTTGGAAAGTAATTTTTGCATATAGAATTGGCAAGTCAAACATTAATTTATTTATTGCCATCTTACCCTAAAATACGGATTTTTGGTAGAAGTATTGTATACCATTTCTTATCTCAATTCTTTGAATTTGCTTTCTTATTCCTTTTCAATGAAAAAGGTTAAAATGATCAAACCTCACTAATTCCAATGACAAATTGTGCCAACCAATCTTAGAATTATATGACTAACAGTTTCTTTTTAAAAAATATAATATGGCTTCATTGATGAATTCAAAGAGACCAAGAACATTTCCACAAGTCAATCAGAGTTATTATGAAAAACCAAATCATAAAAAGTGTTCTAACCAGATCCACTCTTCCCATATTACTTAAATTACCTGCATTACACACAAAATTACATTAATATAATAAATGCTACCTACTTTGGCCGACACCAAAAAGACTGTAAACACCCAAATACATGTTCCTCTTGTTGACATCCTGGCTACCATTAACAACAGTGTCATGGTCATCACTCCATGTAGAAAGCCATACGTTGGATCCTATAAACATACCCTGATTGACACCGGATAGAATAGCTGTAGTAAAAAACATGAACCATCCAACAGCTTGGAAGTAATTCGAATACACACTCCATTTTACCTGTAAACCATCAAGTTATTAATCATTTTAATCATCCTAAGACAAGAACAAGGAAAGTCCATATTCTCTAATATTTTTTTAAATGCATTTTTGTGTGTTGATTTAATTAGTGAAAGAACCAAGAACACAAGTAACATCAGTACTCTATACCCTTTATTTATGTAATTAAAAAAAACAAAACAATAATAAGCTCACCCTCCCTTCTTCAGATTTTTCTTCTACAATAAGTTTGTCCTTCTTTGGCTTTTCATTTAAACTTCTTTGAGATAATTTGGAATAATTCACGCTGCTGAAAATTTTAGTATAACTTAAAAATAGATAAAATGTTTTAAAAATTGTAACATATTTTATATTTTAAAATTACTTTTTTGTAGAGCAAAGGGAGGTATTTGAACTGGATATTGATCTAATTGAGCGACTACGACTGAGCTGACGATGGAGTTCAGGATTGCTCTTGATAATATCTTCTCTCATAGTTGGATCCAATTCTAAATCAAAAACAAATTTTATAGCGAAAAAATTAAAAAAAATGCAAACAATTTTTTTTAAAAAGTCGGATTTCTCACCTTCTAGTTCTTCTTCCGGGACATCTTTTAAATGTGTTACAAGAAATTCACTGAATGCTCCTTTTTTATCCAGTAATTCACGGTACGTTCCTACTTCTGATATCTCACCATTGCTCAGAACAACTATCAGATCTACCTCAGGTAAGAATGTTATTCCATGGGTCACAAGCACTCTTGTCTGTCAAAAATAACAATAATAAATTTAAAGATGGGTATATAGTTGAATGTTGAAATGTAAGGATGATAAATAGTCATAATGGAGTAGGCGGGGTGGCCGAATGGGCTAACGAGCACCGCCGTTGCCCGGCAACCTGACATATGAGACAACGATGAAAAATAGTTCCGAGTTCGCATCCCGGTGCGGGGGGAGTCTTTTAAATCCCCGCCCACACTCCCTGGCCTGGGAGAACCTCGTATAGCCTTAAAGGCGAGGAAGGGGAGGACACAAAAAAAAAGTCATAATGTGCAATCAAGAAATTATATTTATTGAGTTTGCCCAAGTTTCGACCTAAACATGTGTAGTTTTGACATTTTCAAAATATTTGTTATTAAATAGACATAAAATGACTTACCACACACCCTCCCATCCTAAACGATAAACAATAAATTCTTGTCTGACCTTGAAACCTTTGGTAATTGTTAAGTAACTATTTATATTTATTAATCTCTATTCCTATATGTTGTTTTTTTTCATATTTGTTAACTTTCATTTCTATAAGTTAATTGTCTATTTGTTTGTTGAATTGTTTTATTTACACTAGGTTTTTGGTTTGTTTATTTTTACTTTTGATATACTTATCTTTTTCATTTATTTACAACAAAAAAACATTTTCTTAGTATATTGTAATGGTTTTATTATTGTTACGTTTATGTAACCGTTATCTCATCTTAAGTTACACCTTTTTCTACTCTAATACTTTTATATTTATCATTTTTCTGATGTAATTTTATATTTTTTAATATTTAGCCCTGATGATGGCCCACAACTCGTAAATACCCATTTGCTTTCCATTTGAATTGTAAGATGATTTGATCACAAAAGCGATAAAAAAGGTGCCCTACAAAAATATTGGGTCGTTTGGCCTATATAATCTCGTTTTTTTGAAAATTTGGGGATGTTGGTCACACCAAACGGCTCAATATTTTTGAAGGCCACCTTATTTCCTGACTTGGTACTCAAGTTATCTTACAATTCGAGTGGAAAACAAATGAGTATTTAGTACCTAATTAAATAGACAAAGTTTGCCGACCTCCAGATTGAAAACGCCCCAATTCTGAGAATTTTCATAAATAAAATATTTGTAGGTTACGATGAGATTAAGTTCCAGGCGGATGTTAATAATTTGATAAAAAGGTGTCTGTACCACCAACTAGTATTTTATGTATTCGAAAAAGTGTATTGTCATTATTTGAAATTACAATGAAAAAAGCTATAATTTGTAAGTTTAATTTACATGATTATCAAATGGAAAGTTTTAGTCTCTTTGTGTAAAAATGATACTTAATTCAATTATCATATTTGCAAACAATTATTTCTTAACAACACCTCATGGATCCTTTAATCATTGTCTTAATCTTGACACCTTAAAAGTACTTATTAATAATTAAAATGCAAAGTAGACAATTTACTTTTTTTTTAAGAACTCCTGTTGAACTAATAACATTCTCAAATATATGTTTGCCAACATGGCTGTCCACTGCGCTGAGAGGATCGTCTAAGAAGTAGACATCACAATCTGAATAGACAGCTCTCGCCAGGCTGATTCTTTGCTTTTGTCCACCACTCACGTTGATACCCTACAAAATGAAATATAAAAAATATTTGAACACAAAAATATATTGGAATATTAGCAAAAGTATCATTGAATATATAATCAATTAACTGATGAGGAATTGCTTGGGCTGAGCAGTAACAAGTAAAACTAAATAACTTATATTTATTTTTGCTGACGTTTTGGCCCAAAGTTCAGACTTTCATCAGGGCTAAGAAAAGACAAGATAACAATAGATATGAGAAACTAGTTAATACAGTTAGAAACTTATGAAATAAATAATAACAGCAAGAGAGTTAGAGACTAATGAAATAAATATAATGAAACTAGATAACAAAAAAAAAAAAAATGAAAAATGAAATAATAAAGAAATGTAATGGAATATTAAGAGATAAAAACCGTAAGTGTTAGAAATAAAACAAATGGAGTGACATAGTTGCTAAAAGTTGATGCTTAGAATGCAAAGAGGAAGTGAAATTAACATAGAATAAAATGTAAAAGAAATTTTTACGTTTTACTTGTGGCTACTCACCTCAACCAATTCATCAATCATTAATGACAGTCAACTATTAATCTGCTATTATTAATTAACAGTTATTATATTATTTTATTAACTGAGCTCACTTACTCTTTCCCCTATTTCGGTTTGATCACCTCCAGGAAGCATTTGCAGATCTGCTTTGAGAGCACAAGCCTCAATAACTTTATAGTACCTCTTATGATCAAGATTCATTCCAAATAATATGTTGTCTTGAAGGGTACAATTCTGAATCCATGCAAGCTGAGGCACATAAGCAATAGAACCCTAAAATAAATTGAGATAAAATTATATATAAAAAATGATTATGTTTTATTATATACTTCATAGGTATCATAGGTAATTTCAATAGTTGATACAATTACATACTACAAACGGAATATTCAATTTTGAAAAACATATGTTCAATTTCTTTTAAGAACATAATATTTATTTCACTGTTGAAAGATAATTTTCAGTACTTCAGCATAAATTATAATTTTATTTATTTTCCCTATGGTATAAGCATATACCTCTTTTACTGTAATTTTATCTAGATAAGGGTATATTTAGTTGTCCATGGAGGAAAAAATCTTTTCTCAAGTTGATTACAATACGCTTAAAATTTTGTAGCTGTGATTTATTGATAGAGGTTGATAATTATATTCACCTACAGTTTTTCAGTTAGATTGCCATTTTGATCACTGCTCTGTTGCAATGAGTCGTAATGTGATGTTATAAAGCTCAAAGCCTTCCCTAATAATCGGACTGTTTAATGTAAAAATAATTTTTCATATTATATAAGTAGTTCCTACAATTAGAGCATTCAAATTATCAAATTCTTCTGCTTTATTTATTAGTATAAATGTGAACTTGCTTACTTTTGTGTTGACTTTTCCAGACACTTTGTGCATCTCTCCTAGCAAGGCTGAAAGGAATGAAGACTTGCCCGAACCGACAGCACCAACTACCGCAACTAGAGAGCCAGGTTTAACTCTTAAGTTTAGGTTTCGAAGAGTTGGTTTTTCGGCAGCCCCCCATGAGAAGGTACCCTTTTCTATCACTAATGGGTCATCTGGAGATTAAAAAAAGGTAATAATTAAACAAACTCTCTTTTAAATTTGCAAAAGTGTTGCAATTTGAAAAATAAATATTTAAATAATTTTTACTTTGGTTTACTGAAATTTAATAATTGTAACATATTTATTTACATGTTATTATTTTTATAATTAAGAGCAGAATTTTACTGCATCGTAGAACATTGAAAAATTTTAAAATAATAAATAAGTAAAAAAAAAATTACCTTCTTTATCATCATGGGATATTATTTTTAAGTCCAATTCCTCACTATTCAAAAATTTGTTTATCCTTTTTATTGATACTGCAGCCTAAAAAAAAATATTCATTAATTAATAATAACACTTATATATAGACAGATAGATAGATAGAAAAAAAAAACTTTATTCTGGGACTAAGTCCCTGTAGAATAACAATATTGTACAAAAGAATAGAATATTACCGGCCTAAAAGTTTGAAAAAATAAATAAAATAAACTAAAAAGTAAAGAAAACCTTAGGGGCACAAGCTATATACAATACAGATAAAACTATGTACAGAGCAATTAAAACTATGAACAAATCACTTGTACTATGAACAAAACTATATATAAGGGTTGAACAACATAAACATACACTTTGAGAAATGAAGAATGAAAAAGAGATAGAATGAGTTCATTTCATAAAAAAAACTTTACTTGTATATATATATATATATATATATATATATATATATATATATGTATTGAAATTCCTATGTCGATAGTAGAAAATGCATGTAGTATCTCTTACCAAGTATTATCAAATGATTATATGATTGCTACACAATACATATATAGTATTAATAGTTAGCTAGTATCTGACTGTTTTTGGAACAGGAATTGGAATAGGAGATTTTTGAATGTTTATAGGGAGGGGGCATGCCGAATTTTGATTGGGAGGGAATTCCAAAAGTTGACAGAGCGGGCTATAAAGGAGTTTTGGAATGAGGCAGATCTATGAGAAGGGATGTATAGGTCAGAGGGTCGAGATCTTGTAGTGAGGGAATGGATTGAGGACTTAAATTGGAGAAGGTTGTAGGCATAAGAAGGACGATGATCGGTAATGATTTGATAAAGGAAAGTGCCTAGGAAATATTGTCTTCTTAAGGAGGGGAAGAGCCACCCTAACTCAGTGTAGTGGTGGGAGACACGGGAGTGTCTCGGGATCCCAATTACAAATCTTACGAAGCTATTCATAAGTCTTTTGAATATACATATATATATATATATATGAGATTATTGATGTGAAAACCAAATTCAAGAAGAAATAAAGAAAAAATTACAGGGAAGTAATGCTTGTTACAAACTATTCAGTTCACATTTACGGAACCAAAACTTGAAAGTAACGATTCAGCAGACTATGATACTTTCTAATGCTCTTTTTAGATGTGAAACATTACCTTAACTGGATATATGACAGGAAAAGCAATGCCTATATGATTTAAAATTAAAGTATTCAATAAAATATGTTGCCTGAAAAAATGCATGGAGAATCTAGATAGATTGATGACCTGATTTCTAAATTTTTTTTTTAGTGAGAATTTAATTACCTTTCAAGGAAAAATATAAACAATTTTCCTTAAAATATATACTGTTAAAGTTATGCACATATAAACTGTGGTAAGATAAATAAAAATTGTCATTTCAATTAAAAAAACAACACATTTATTTGTTATCGCATAGCTACGATTTCATAGAGTGTGTATCACATTGGTGTGCATCAATTCGGTGCAAAATGCACTGGAGAACAAAATCCTACAAAAAAAAGTGGAACGAATTTGGTTTATCCTTTGAAGAGATAATCTTGGCAAAAATATACAAAAGGGATTAAGAAACATAAATATCTATCACCTATTCGAGATAGAAAAGTAAAAAATAAAATAAAACTTACCTGAACCATACTCGAAATCATTACTGGAACCATTGCAAGAGGAGTTTTCAATATGTTAAAAAGAGACAGAGACACGAAAACCTTAGCCGAATCTAAAACATTATTCTCATCTATGAGGACATAAGTCATGAATGTAAGAAGTGAGACCTGAAATAGTGTAAAAAATATTATTAAAAATATACAAGCTAGATAAGAATAAAAATAAATTGTAAATTCATTAATAGCAGTCCTTTCTTTGTTATTTGAAGGTACTATTTGCTGGCACTGTCCACTGCAACGACTGCCACCCAATAACAACTGTTAATCCTTGTATATTTTGCTGACAATGGTCACCGTATTGGCCAAATTCTGTTGATTTAGCATCCTAGTTTGAAATAATTTTAAATAAAAACATCAGTCTTACATTTAATGGTTTTTATTTGTATCAGAAGGACAATACATATGATGGCAGAGCTTTGATCTTATTTAAGTAATACATGCCATTTTTTTCTGCCATTTAAAATAATATACATATTATTGCCGACCATCTAAAAAGTAATGGTTTCTTGTAATGTTTGAATAGAAAATATCACCTTCATAATGGAAAAAAATCTGGTGCGCTCAACAAACAAATTTCACTTTCTATTTTGAATAGAAATTATTTTCTGGCAATGTTGAGCAATTATAAAATTTGTTGAAGTACACTTTTAACGGAGCTATAGCTTAAAGTTTACAGCTAATTCATCATTCTCCGTTACCTTCTACAACTTTATTTAATTCATATTATTTTTTCTGAAATTCTCCGCTTTCTAATGATATATTATGTGTATACCTTCTGACTAGTATTTCCGGAAATTCATTTTCGAACTAAATAAACATTTTCCTTTTTTTTCTACTTTTTCAATTATCAAATTCTTTCAGAAATCATTGGAGCTGTTTTTGAGAAATTTGTAAAAATTTGTATAACCGTTGAAATAATGTGCCACTTCCAGTTAGTCAAAAAACGAAAAAGTTGTCACATTCAAGGCATATACCCTATATTAAATACATAATATCAGATTCGTACAAGTTTTTAAGTTAGACTTATCACATACATACACAAAGACCATTTTGCAGGACTTGGTTATTTAGATTCAGGGGACCTCAAAACGTGTATTTCCATTGAAAACTCAGATTCGAATATGTTCACGATCCCAATAGTTTCCCTTACTAAATACTACATATATACGTAAGTGAAAGTAAAAGGTGAAGAAATATTATTTCAATGACTGATGGTGTATCCTTATTTTAAACTTATCACTTATTTTTAGTACGATCATTTCAGAAATAAATCTCATGTATTTGTACTGTAATCACAGTCTACATTATTTTAGCATTTATCATTAAGAAATCAGTATTTAATTTTTAATGAATGAGGTAAAATATTCCCATTATTTAATGTCAGTTGGATTTAGGTACACTTGAATTCATCTGTGAAATACTTTTGGTGACATAAATATTCTTATTACTTCGAACCTACAAAAATGAATTACTACAGCTTCGTTAAAATTTTAAACCAGTTTTGATTTAATTTTGTCTGTTTTTATGAAAAAAAAAAAAAGGAAATGAAACATAGTGATGTAGGTGACTGTTTTCATCAAAACTCTTCTTCGATGTGATAACTACCTAAAACTGCTGTGCTGTCAACAGCTTCACTGCTTCAGGAGTGGTCAGAAAGGAACAGTATAGATATGATGTCATACCTAGACTTCCGAGCACCGCTAACAAAACATGCTTTCTATTCTACTAAAGCAGTCATCAACTTCTAGCAGTCGCTGCGGTGGACAGTACCAGGAAAATAGTACCTTAAAATGAAAAAACTCAATTCTGATTTATGAACCTACCAAAAATGGAGCACAGGTCCAAATGAATGATATGCCTGCCCTAAGGTAAGCTGCCTTTCTTAAAACTTTTGCCTCTTTTGCTCTTATCTTAAGAACATCGTCTTCAAAGCTCGGTTCCCAAGCGTATAGTTTCAACACCTAAAACATATTTGTAAATAATATCAATAAAATTAAAAATATATATAAAACCATCAGGATCTTGACATTATAACTATTCTCAGAATTTAATGAACAATAAAAAGTTTTTTTTAGGAGTAAAAAAATACAATGATGCCTTATTAATCTTTTAGCTTAAGATGAGCAGGAAAGGGAGGAGTGACCTTGGGGACAGTATTAGCTGACAGATCTACGTTCCCCTGTGATAAAATACTTCTCATAAACTCCACTCACCATTTTAGTATTTTTACTTAAGCATTCTTGTAAATTTAAAAAAAACAAAATTATACAATTGAAATACTGTATATTACATGACCTATACAATTTTATTTTATAAAATATAAACTTTTAAACCATCATTTTTTATACAATTGACTGAGCCAAAAACTAAAAAAAAAACTGTTTTGTATTTCTGTCATCTTCTCTCTTTAAAAAAAAATACTGAAATATGTTATTATATTACTAAGAATGGAAGTGATAAACATAAAACATTATATATAAATTTCACAATATTTCTCCAATTATTCTTCGGTGCATACTATTTATTTTCAGCCATTTTACACCAATTTTCCAAATTTTTGTCAACTTAATGACTACACATATAATTACGACATTTCGGCTTGTTGAGCCATTTTCAAGTCTAAATACCAATTATGTACCTGTCCTTTTCACTTATGCGAATTGCATGCGTCTACTCATAATACAATTTTTTTATTTTGTCATGTCCATCTTATCATGTGTCGCCGACACGTCATCAGTTTCATTTTTATTCAGTGATAGAAATATAGATGTGTAGTCATTAAGTTGACAAAAATTTGGAAAATTAGTGTAAAATGGCTGATAATAAATAAACTTGAAAATTATATGTAAATTTATTCTTTTCTAAAAAAACTAATTAAAATTATTTATTAAATCTTATTGAGAAATTTACATTAAACATGTACCAGAAGCAGGTAATAAAATAAGTGCAACCTAAAAAAAAAAAAGGAATATGCATTAGCATTTTTATGCATTAGCAGGGGGAGGGAGATATTTGTTTTAACCTACTGGCTCAAAAAAGGACACAACATAGTTTGAAAATAGAATCCAACATAGAACACTCCATCACTTAAAGAGAAATAGCCCGACAAGCTCATGAGTCATACATGATTCTGTCTCGACTCATATATCAGTTCACCGTCACCGGGATCAAATATCCTCATGATTCATACACAATACCACCATTGTTAAAGAGTTAAATATCAAACTAACAAACCTTCATTCCAGAAAGAACTTCATTAGTAGTTTTAACTCTCTCATCTTTGTATTTCATTTGTTTAACTTGTAAGTTCTTTGTTACGTTGGCAAAAAAAGCATTGGCAGGAATCATAATCAGCATAACACCTAAGCCCACGAGTACACTAGGTCCTGAAATCAACAAGAAATTTTCACTATAAAGTACATTTCACTAAAACTAAAACTAATTTGAGAATCAAATTACGTACATAAAAACACAGAATATAAAATAATATATAAAAATTGTATATTGAATATTACAATAAACAAAGAGTATTATAATTAGAATGGAAGCCAGTGATAGATTAAGTTCGCCCCTCGAACATATTCAGGGAGCCACCAGCTGTTTTGAAGTGCAGTGAATATTTCAATAATTTAAATTGAAAATCAGTAAATTATCTTTAAAATTTAACTGTTGAACACATTGCTGGATTCAATACCATTTGGTTTCTGAGATTCAGCTGAAATTGAACGTAGAAACAAGCCTGACAGATGTATAAGTAGGAGGCATATTATAGTTTTCCTGATGAAATTGTACAAACAAGCGGTCTTGTTCATTACAATGTATCAAAATATAAATTCAAAGAGGCTTACTCCTTATCAAAGTCTTGAATATATTGAGCTATTTATCAGCAGATCTGAAGTTGCAAAAATGGATTGAAAAAAAAATGGTTTGGGTATTTACTTTTATAAATTTAAAATTTTTAGTGAGGATAATTAATTCAGTATGGTATATTGATTCATGTAGACAATTAAAAATATGTTGTTAATATTAAATAAATATATACAAACCTAATTGCTGCCATAGAAAAACTAATGATAATGCAATTTGAAGAGGTGCAGACCAGAGGGTATTTAAATGGGGCATCACGTTCATAAATGTTTGAGAATCGACTGCCATTAAGTTAACGATTTCACCTAATGTGGAATATTTTCTTGCTGAGCTGGACAGTTTCAAAGCCTAGAAAAAATGATATCAGATTAATACAAATAATAATTTAAAAGTGATGTTCAATATTTAGTTTTGTAATATTTACTATCATTCTCATTTATTAAAACTAAATTTAGTAAACTCTACGTACAAGTCAATTTAATATATATTTAATTTTATTAATATATTAATGCAGATACATATTATAATACAGGAAACAACCAATAAACAGAATTTGAACATACCACTGTAAAATGCAGGGTCCACGTGTTAAATCTGACAGTTTTTGAGATGGAGAAAATGATAAATTAAGCTTTTAGCGATGATAAAGAAGGGGCATTCTTAAGGAGGAAATACTGCTCATCACCTTTACTGGCCTCTTAAGCGTTTTATTTAAGGCAACATTTGAATATGTCCATAATATCCAGTCACAGAAAAATTACCTGCTGTCTCATGTGAAGTCTACAATTTAGTTTGAAAGTAGAAATAATCACTAAGCATCCTGTCGTTTAAGGAGAATTAGCCTGAGAGGCCTTATAGTCCATCATCATTAAAGGGCTAATTCAAGATATTTAATTATAATAATTTTTATTTAAATTGGAAAGAATTGAAGTCGAAAATGTATAAAAAAAAAATTTTTAAAATGTGTAAACAGCCTTCATTTTCCAAGAACTCAAGTTTGTTAGCAAAATTTCTCAAGACCTCAATAACAGAACTTTAGCTTATAAACACAACAGGAGAAAGTGAGCTTTCTTGTAGAAAATAAGCAGTTAGTAGTCTTAATATTTGTTTTACTGAACACCACAACCAACTTCTCTTCAATATATCTACAAAAATAAATTATAAATACACTATTAAGAAGATTAAAATGTTTTTACAAAAACATTTAGTAGATAACCCTCCAGTATTTACCCCTTTATGTGACATTGTGAGGGAATGAGAAGGAATATATTGGAATATGATATTGCACTATGAATTGTACTCAAATGTGCAGTGGACAAATTATTCATTAAAAAGTCTGATATCGATAAACAATTGACGAAGGAAAAAGAAGGTTGGAATAGGACCGAGCAGGTAGCAACAGCTGGAGAATGACGCTGGAGAGAAGAGAGGCATTTTAGGTAGAAAGGAGGTTGTCAGAAGAGAGAGGTTCTACACTGAAGACTGAGAATATCAAGCCTACAGTTATGAGACTTTAGTATATTCACTTATTACAGTTGTAAAATAAATATAAATTGTTTTGTTAGACAGGAGTGAAATGCCATTTATTTATTTAGTTGTCCTATAAACCTCACAATTGAAGAATAACAAACCAGGTGAGTCAATTCATTCAAAATGTGTTTACTCAGTCCCACATTATATATTATACACATTATATATATATATATATATATATATATATATATATATATTCTTATTGTTTCTTCTCACACAGTGTCACAAAAGGTGTTAGGTTCCCGAATTCCCAACGACAGTTAAACACCCTCAAGAAGTCTATATCCAGTGCCGGGGTTTTGTTTTAATATTCACAAGTGTTAATAATCTAGTTCCCCGATAAAAACGGAAAGGCTATTCACAATCGCCCGCTATAACATCATTTACAATTAAACTCTTAATAGGTTATTTACAAACACAATTTAGGATTTAGTGAAGTGAAAAAAGATAGAATCGGAAGAAGTCTCTTATTTTTACAGGCACACACATTTCTTAATTAAAATGTATATTGACCAATAAAAAATTAACTAAAATGTAAATAAAACTGCCACTGTAATATTTAATTATCGTTATTCTTCAACAGCAAACACACAGGTACAATGCACCATTGAAATGATATTTTCACATCAAGTGTATTAGAATAACCCCTGACACCTAGGTATACTCTATACCCCAAAATCCATATTCAAAAACTGTTAGGTTTGACTGACAGATCTTTTATTGAATACTTATTAAACTGCTGCTTGATAATACCTTTCTGTAAACTGCAGTCATGATGGATGTCCTCATGCGAAGACCAACCATTGAAATTTTGTTATTGTATTGTGACTGAATCAAACTTTGCACAGAAGTAAAAAAAAGAAGAAGGCCTGCGTAGAAATAACCATGCCATTTTGGCTCATCGGAAGACACAAAGTTTATAACCATCCTACACAAAAAAACCAAAACAAATTAATATAAATAAAACTTTAATTATTAACATAAAGTATTAAATAAAATCAAAATCATTTTAAAAATATACAGTTGTAAATATTATACACTGACTGGCAAAAAATTCCACCCACTTGTTACCCATTAAGGAACCACATTGGAAAGGTTGGCTCTGGGAAAAATTACAGGCTGCATATCTTTCATTTCTCCACACCCTTTCACACCCGTCTGGAGATTGAAGAGCGAATCTTGACTCATTTGTAAACAGTACAGCACTCCATTCGTCCATAGTCCAATGGCTGTGTTCTCGAGTAAAAGCCAGCCGTGTTACTCTGTGAGTTCTGGTCAACTCTGGTCCTCTTACTGGACGAAAAGCCATTAATCCATACTCATTTAATCTTCTCCGAGTAGTACGTTCAGAAATTTGCACACCTCGAACTTCTTTGAGCGGATGAATCGCTTGAACAACGGTAAGGTGCCGGTTTCGTAAAATTCTCAAAGTCAAAAACCGGTCATCCCGTGGTTCTGTTACCCTAGGCCGTCCAGAATTGGGCCTTCTATTGTAAGAACCAGTTTCCCGAAAACGCCTGACGGCGTCTCGCAAAGTTTCATATGGAACTCCGATGGCATTAGCTGCATATCTAATGGAACATCCATCATCAAATAAGTGCCACACCATGCGCAACATCCTCAGCACTAAGAGGCATTTTTAAACTTAATATTGAAAAAATTAAAAGCTGGAGACTAAGAAATGTGCTGCAAGAAATGGCACTGAACTAATGATACTGAATAAATATTTTGATTCCATAGAAAGTAAACATTGGAATCTAGAATTATTTCATTGAATTAAGGATTAAGGGTTATTGTCCTCCATATTAACATTCCTAATTGAAAACAAACAAAAAGATTACCTATTTATTCATTAAAAACAATAGACCAATCCAAAGCAGAAATATTTTTAGATGAAAACATTAAAAAATCAAGTGGGTGGAATTTTTGCCTGTCAGTGTATTTTAAGAAACTTCAATTTTTACCAGAAACAAATATTTCTTATAACCTACAAAATTTGTAAATATCAAATCTGTACTCCAGAGAGAAAGAAGACCATGACTATTTTTGTATTTTTTAGCAGAGACAATTTTCCATAACTTTGAGATATTAAAATTTGTACCCTCGAGTTCAAGGACACCCTGTCACATTTTTGTATTTGCACGGGAAGACCTATTTCATATTTTTGAACTGTTAAAATTTGTTTCTTAGCTATTAAATTATTTAATAGAAAAATGGATATCGTGTTCTTTACTTCCGAGACAATAAAATAAAAAGTAACATTTAAAAAATACAAAATATAATTGTTATCAAAAAGGACTCTTATTTTACAAACATAAGAATGAGTAATAAATAAGAGTAATAAAATAAAAAACAAAAATATGTTTCATAAAGCAATGAAAATTCAAGGAAGTACTTAAGAAGAAGCAAATTGGTTCTTATAATTTGGTTTTAAAACTCTTTGGTAAGGAGAAAAAAAACAAAACAACCAAAAGCTTAAACATCAACCCAAATTACATACAATGTTTCAACTCTCAATCCCAATTATAAATCATGTAATATTTCAATTGAAATTTACCCACTCTTTTATGTTATAGCCAACAGCTCTATATACAATAGCCTAGAAAACAAAACAACAAACCATATTTCATTTCATTTGAACATTTTTTGTTGATTAAATCCCTACTCCACCATAATGGTATACATTTAGGGGGAGGAGGAGTGGAGGAGTCGTTCTAAAAGTACATCCAAACCTATTCTGAACAGAGTGGGCAGGTCGAAATTCATTTTGTAGGCCTCACACGAAAATAATATCAATCCAACCCAAGCAGATTCGAATTGGCACCACTACACTCGAGAATGTTAAAGCGGATAAAGGTCTGAAATGCTCGGCTATCATGGCTTCCATTTTATATGATCTGGATGGAAGTGGTGGAAGTGGACAAATGTAGCTGAAAATATTTGGTGTGTCCACTTACCCGACTTTCCTACCAATTTTAGTCAAATTTAAACATCTTTAAATAGCTCTATTAAATAAAAAAAATAATCAAATTAATTTTACTGAAAAACCGACCAGGGAAATGATTAGAGTACAATTTATTTAATCAACTTTATGTAAACTTGGCCACATGTATCATCCATGAATGCGCAGAAAAAAAAAGAGGTACTTTTAAAATCAGCGTATTAAATTCAAGACACTGTAACTTTGCTGAAACTGGTCTGATTTAGAAAATTTTTTCAAATGATTTAAATTGAGAGAGCTCTAAAATGTAATAATCCGTTGAGAACTAAACATGGAAATTTGAGCAAATAGCAATACATTCCATACCTAGTAAGGGTAGGAAAGTAAAAAATATATATTTTTATGTAAGTTTCTTATATATAAATGTATATATATATATATATATATATATATATTATATATATATATATATATATATATATATATATATATATACATGAAACCCTAATACCTACAAAATCATCTACGGATTTAAAATATCACAGTACCTCCCTTCAATAAATAATAATGACCTATGATATATTATTTTCAGGGAAATATTGTCGGTTTACTGCAAAAAGTCACTTAAATTTTAGATATAGCTTATCTTTCAAAAATATTTTTGTAAATTTTGACTTTATTTATCTATGAAAATGGTAAACGTCCTTTTATTTACCATATACAGTTACATTGAGTGCACATTTTTTTTATTTCATAAAGAAATAATTCATCAAAGCTCTTAATTATTTGAGGTTATAAAATGCCACTTAATGACTTTTGCAATAAACTGATGGATATGAAAACCAAAATTAAGCTAAAAAATGTAAACAGACAAATACTAATGAAATATTATACTGTAGAATAAGTTTAAAATTACTTTAAAAGCTGTGGACTGGTAAAGGTCAGGATGACATCTATGAGTTGTAGAAATGTTGCAAATAAAAATACTGCACCGAAGGCTTTAGATAGAGCAGGTACGACTGAGACTGGGTCTGATTTGAATTCTTTGGGTCCGTTAAAATCCACAGAATTAGACTGCTTCATAAATTCTGTAGCTTCTTGTTCGTAAATCCTTAAAGTAAAAATGAAATTTCAATAATTATTAAAGAAATTAAATAGTATAAATAATATTATGAGTGTAATGTTATCAACTATATCAGCTAAGTATCTTATCCCCACATATATTATTACAGTAAGGTTCAAAATCAGTTTTGTACCAAATATAAGCTCCTGTCATGCTCAAATACCATGAATGGGGTACCGTTGGATTCAGAATTTCAGGGGGGGTTAGCGAATCGTATTCTCCACTATTGTTTTTCTTTCTAAAATAAATAAAGTCGATACAAACATTTTGCTAGGCTTCAATACTGGAACGTTGGGTCTGTAAATCGTTACGGGACAAATTGGATCTTGAAGATTTTGATGCGTACAGCAAGACCCGGATAGTTCCTCCGGAACTATCGGATCCTGCGTTTTTAAGAACAAAAACGTACTATTTTCGAGATAACGCAAGGCCTAGGGTTCGCATCCACACAGCCTTACATTAATTGTGGTACTGTCATTGAATACATGTCTCATTTCGTCGACTTGAGGTCTCTATGATCGAGAGAGGAGGAGTTTATATTATTTATCAATGGTGTTTTTGATCGGCATGCCAAATCATTGTTAATTTTTCACCAAATCTCAAGATTGAGTCACCAGTTTTGAAGGTTTCCTTCTCCTTCAGGCGGGCAAAATAGTCCAATCACCCCGAAAATTCAGACAAACAAGTTATGAAAAAAAAAAACTTTATTTGCGAATAACTAAAACATTACACACTTTTCCCTAAGTTATACCCATGATCATATAAAAGATTAGTAAATTCTCTACAAAAAAAAAAAAAAAATCATTGAAACCGGACTATTTTTAACAAAGATACAGCTTACTGAAATTTCTGAACATGTTGGTTCCAAACAAAATTTAAGATTTAAATTAATTTTAGTTTTCTTTGTCGATTATATTTATCGATAAAGTAACATTCGATTTCTTTATCTTTTGATACCTTGCATTATTTTATTCTCTTATTAATTTGGCATTTGGTAACAATATGCTGTGCGAATTTTTCACACGGGCCTACTAGTGTTAAAATATTGTCATAAGCTTTTTCTTTTTTCTTAACATGTATGTGCTGTTAAGCTTGGAGTTTAAAGTCTGTCCCTAGCTAGCGTACAAAACATTAATACTTGTAACTATAAAATACATACTTATTTTTATAAATTTTATTCCAATATCTATTGAAGACTTGATAAAGTTGTGCAGCACTATCCTTGTGATTCATCGACCAAAGGTCATCGTTTGTGAGTGGTTGTTTGAACCCTTTCATTATAAGACCATTAAACCAAGAAAATGTCCATCTAGAAGGAATCGATGCATCATCTTCTGGATTTGGATTCTATTAAAGAAAAATAGGAACTTTCAATTAATTAAAACCAACTCAGAAAATTAACAGATTAGAAAACAAAGTATGGCGTGAATTCTTAAACATTATATCCACAAAATACAATCAAATAACTCAAATTTTAATGCAATAAATTCAAGTGTATGGGGTACACTCATCAATCATGGTTAAAATGGTGACCAAATATGGTTAAAAATAATTATCGTTTGGTAATAATAACTAAACAATTAATCCTTACCTTCATTTTAGGGTGTTCTGACTTTTCCGGTGGAGAATCAACTAACCAATACATGATGAACATTATGAAGCATAAAGAATAATAAAGCATAGAAAAAATTCTTCTTGATTCCGTTTCTTCCTGTGTAAAGAAATGTATGTTCTCAATTATATAGCATGTTTAAGATATTGATAAATTAAAAAAAAAATAATCTATTTTACACTTGAAAGGTGTCTCCAGATATCATTGTAAAACTGTGAAAATCCCATAAATACCACAAGTAACCAATACAAAAACATGAGACCTGAAACTCGCTGTCCATATATCCTGTGATAAATTACTAATGTTATGCATAAACCCTAAAAATACAAAATTTTATAATTATATACAACACAAATATAAATATTAAGAAAAAAGAAAATGTTCAATCTATACAAGATAAATCTACCTTTTAAGTTCAATAAAGTATAGTGATTTTAGCTATGCCAACTGAAAATTAATTATTTCTAATGTTTATCATTAGAAATAATTAATTATTATAATAATATTAATTAATAATAATATATTAATATTATATATTATAATATTATATTTGATATATATTAATAATAATATATTAAACTTAAAGGATTGTCATTTGTAAAGTATTAAATTAGTGACTAAGTTATAAAAATAGCAAGTGTACAAAAATCAAGATAGCACTGAAAAAGAATTAAGAGGATTCTAGAACATTGGGGAATAGGGTCTCCACTGTCGCGTAAAAGTTCCCTTTTAAGGGAAATTTCAGGGTTGGGGGCAGAAGTGAAAGGAAAAATGACTTTCCTCAAACAAAGCCTAATCTAAGCACAGTTTAATACATTTTTTTATAAATAATAAAAATTAAACCAGACATAAAACGAGTAGTTAAATTTAATATTTTGTATATACATGGGTGGAAAGGATTTTTGACTCCGTTCTTTATAAAGCGATTATATTTCGGTAAACCTCTCAATAATACATAATATATCAAATACTTACCAAACAAATTAATTTGATTAAAGGCGTATATATATCAACAGGGAAAACTTCATCGGTTCTGCTAACATTATAAATAAATTCGATTACACATAACGTGATCAGCAATCCAAGGACAACCTGCAAATTTTAAAGTTTTAAGTTCAAGTTTCTTCACTATTTATATTTAAGCTAAAATGCATTAATAACAAGAAAAAAAAAATACTCAAGGATTTGTTAATGATGAATCCAAGATATTCTGGGTTTATAATTATTTTGAGAAAAATATCAGGATGACATAAAAAATCAGGTGCAATATATTTGTATATATTATGTATGTTATATATATATATATATATATATATATATATATATATATATATATATATATATATTGATGTAATGATGATAGAATAGTAATCACAAATCCTGATAGAATGACAAATAAAAGAAAAACTGTTTCATTCATCATGGATATATTTGAGATTTTAGCTTACTTCCAATTATCCATAAGTGAAACATATAGTAAGTAGGTCTCCTGAGTATAATTTACAGGTGTACAGTGTTTGTAGTATGTGAACAGCGAAAACATAGAAAAAACAAAAATTCACACAAAACTGAAATTAAGTGATAATAAACTAAAGGAGAAAATATTTTCACAGGTAGAAAACAGATTTATGGACATAAGAGTAGTACTCATGGAATATAATACAAATAAATCTCTCATTTCCTAAATGAGCCCTAATAGATTTTTATGAAAATTGAGATAAGTATCGATTTTCATGTAAAAACACCCAAATGAATCCAATGGTACAATTTTTTTTTTTTTCACAAACAAACCTAAATAATAAAAAACTTAATAAAAACTAAATAATAATAAATAAGTTTATTTCCGAAATTGCCTTTTTTTTTAAAGGAATGTAGTAACAATTGCATTTCTTAAATATTTTTAAAAAATAAATTCATCAAAGCTTTTTTAACCGTTTTATTAAATGAAAATTACAAAAAAAAAAAGTATATTGCAGCATTCATTTTCCACAAAAAATTAATTTTTTATGTTACAATTTTCATAGCTTTAATCATACCAAATCAAATACCATTTCCTCTCTCCTAAACAAACTTCAATCAACCTTTTTTTTTTTTTTCGAAAACGGGCCCTGAAGTTTAATTCTTTCCAAACGGGACTCTATCCAAGATAAAATGTTTTTTTTTTTACAACTGGAATAATATTTGATTTTCAGAAATATGTTCAAAAAATAAAAAATCTTAATTTATTATTTAAAAAAATATTGGTTTTAATAATATAATTGGAATAAAAAATATATTTTTTCGCATTCTATGAAAATTTTTTAAAAATGGTTAGGATCTACTTTGGAAAGAAATAACTCACTTATTAGATAAACCAATACTTGAAGTTGTAATCTTTCAATTTTAATAGAGTTACATTCATTAAAGACAAAATTCTACTGGTGATTTCATACTCCAAGTCTGATTTTAAGCCCAAACAAAATCAAATTATAATAACAGTAGAAATAAATAAAAGTTTAAAAATCATACTCACCAATCTTCCTAAATTTTTACAATTCCATGGAATATTTCTTGCTTTGCTACTAAATGTTAAAAATATATCAATACAAGAAAAAACCCACAGGAATAAAGCGGGTAACCAAACAAAAGCAGTCTTTTCAAAACATGGCGTTAATTGTGGAGAATCTGAGTTCCATGATAAGTTGGTATCCTTAAAAGAACAATATAGTATATTAAATGTATATTAAATATGTGTATATAACAAAAAAGAAATTGAATTAATATGGACTTTCTTACCCAAAACGGGGAGCCACAAAATTCATTTAATGATGTCCAATTACTTTCATTTGAGAAACTCATTTTGTTTTTTATGGCACTGGTATTTTAATTTAAGCATGAATACAGGTAGATCTGAAATTTTAAAACAAATAAATATATAACGAAAAATGTAGTATCGATGCATTGATATAGAATAATGCATAAGCTACAACTGAGCATTTTTGGGAAAGAGTTTGGTCTATAATATATTTCAAACACTCAATTTATTCTCTATTCTAATGTTAGATACTGAAAAACCTTTTTTTTTTTATCCTTTTTTCTAAGATTACGTAGTAAAATTCTAAAAAATATTATGAGAAGGAATTAGTCGAGGGTGCGGTCAAAAAAATAAAAAAATTAAAATATATAAATAATTTTAATTTTTGCCGACGTTTCGACCCACTTTGCAGGTCGTCTTCAGGGCGTTGGATGTGGCACTGCGGGAGGCGGTTGAAACACTCTAAAAAATATTAAATTTAGCACATTACTCACACACGGCATAACTACAACACTTATTGCATGGGCTTTTCCTCTTTAGGAAAACCTTTATTTAGAAAAAATCGCATAGAATGTATATGAGAACATAACTAGGTGAGAAAAACAAAATTTTGATACAAATTGAATTAGTGTAGAAAAATTTCTTTTTGGAGTAAATTTTTCTACACCACCTCTAATATTGTTTTGGAATTTTACTCTTTTTTGTGCACCTCTAAAACACCTCCTAATTGAGTGAGAGGGTTGAAAATTGGTATGTGAATTGATTTGATATTAGAAAATACCTTTCTAATAAAATTACCAGAGGCTAAAGAGGTGCACAAAATCTTTTAAAAAAATAAAGTATTACAAAATAAAATGGCAGTTGTGGAGGAGAAAAGTTGAGACCTTCTCCAGTAAGACGGGCTGACAAATACTGAAGACACCTGAGCTAGTTTGAAGTGTTTGAGTATGTTCAGAATTTAAGGATTACTTTCGAAAGTGTATAATATGCTTTATCAGGAGTCTCCAAACTAGGGTCAGCGGGCCAGATCTGACCCGCAAGCATCTTCAATCCGGCCCGCAAAAGTTTCTTTGATTACGTAGTAAAATTCTAAAAAATATTAAATTTAGCAAATTACTCACACACGGCACAACTACAACACTTATTGCATGGGCTTTTCCTCTTAAAAAGCTCATTTCACAGCTACAGGGTCATTTAGAGTCCCCAAGTTCTATATTAAGTATATCCAAGTATTGGTCAAAAGTTTATTATTTTTATTTTATGAGATTTCCTGTTAAATGAATCCGAAACCTAGGACTCCACCTAGATAAATGCCAAGAAACTGCTCAACGTTATTGCTTACTCCAACACTTACAAGACAAACGCTCTAAATTTCCAATTAATTACAAAAGACTCATATACATGTAACGAGCCCCATTTGTACTTATGGAGTTGAGCTTTGGGGCTTCACAAAACCATCGAATTTCTCTCGTATCCAATCCTTACAATTCAAAATCCTCAATGCTCCTTACTCTGCCACAAATAAAATAATCCATAAAGACCTTAATGTTCCAATTTGGCCCAATCCAGATACCTATCCTTCCATAATAAACTTCACAACCATCCGAATCCTCTTGTTTCTAACTTTGCTTTCTCTTCTATCCCTGATAATCCTTCGAATCATCTGAAAAGAATATGGCCTCGTGATCTCCTAATTTAGAAATTTTATTAGTTTTAACAACGGGTGGTTTTCCTACAAGTGTTCTCATGTCACGTTAATTAATATTTATTATGTTTACCAGATTTATATTTGTTTTATACAGTTGTAAATTTCATAAATAAATTTATAAATCATTTTATGAGATTTGACGTAGATGCAAGTTTTTAATCGTTTTCAATATCCCAAGTTAAACCTTGTCGAGAAGTCTTGATACAATATTATATTATAATACATAATTTAGTGTTATGTATATAATTGACTATATAATATATAAGGAATATATAAATGAGGAAACATCTTTATTTCAAATATCGTTTTAACTTTCATTCACTTCATTTTCACTTTTTGTATATACTTGATATAAATGCTTGTTAAATAAATTTTGTATTTAAATTTCCGTCATCTGATTGTGAGCAGTGAACTCTCTCTCCCACCAAACCTTCCCATTCAACATGTTAAATTGAATAAATGCTTATTCCACTTGCCAGACAGTTTATTGAAAATATAAAGACAATTGTGAATGATAAAACATGAAAACTATTATAGCTTAAAGTACTGAACTTTTACGGGGCCTATTCTGGTCTGATATTTCAGTAATTTTTTTTTTTATTTCTTAATGATATTTACAACTGTATTAAAGAAATACATTTAGTACATTTGAACATATGGATATGATGACATGAAAACACTTTCTGAGTAACTACTCAATGGTAGCACTCTAATGATATGTCTACATCAGGAGATCAAGGGGCCTTCGGAGGGAGGGTGGGAAGGGGGGGGGGGGGAGATCACATCTTCTTTTCAGATGCCTCAGAGGATTGAAGAGGAAGCAAGGTTAGAAACGAGAGGGTTGGGATGATTCTGAAGTTTATTATGGAAGGATAGGTATCTGGATTGGTTCAGATCTGAAACAAAAGAAACATTAAGGTCATTATGGATGGTTTTATTTTTAACAGAGTAGGGACCATTGAGGAATTTACGAAGGATTTTGGATTGTAAGGATTGGATACGAGAGGAATTTGATGGTTTAGTGGAGCCCCATAGCTCAACTCCATAAGTCCAAACAGGCCTTATTTATAGTCATGTATATGAGTCTTTTGTAATTAATTGGGAGTTTAGAACGTTTTTCTAGTAAGTGCTGAAGTAATCGAAAACGTCTTGCGGTTTCTTGTCGTTTCAGTCTAGTATGAGTATTCCAAGTTAGTCGTATGCCAAGGTTCATTAAATTTAATTTAGTTTAAAAATGTAAAGATTTTTTTATTTCGAGAACGTTCTCCTCTATGGTCAAAATGGGTAAAAAACTATAAAACTACCAGTATTTAGCTGTTTTTGGGATATTCAAAAGTAGTGATCCAAGAACCGCCGAAGATATAAATTTGGATTTTGTATCTCAGTGACATGGCATATAAGAAAAAAAAAAAACCTTCAGCCACCACTTGACGCAACTTAATGTACAAGGTTACTGGACTAACTGTCGGGGGTGAAGATAAACAAGGTCATTGCTGGAAGAGTCTAGCTCATACCGTTGATTATAATCATCTCTATCATATAAAAACATTTCTAGTGACCGTGTCATATTTTATTTTGCATACACAAATACGGACCGTTACGACGACACTATACTTCTTATTCCCAGAATTATTTCTCCCGTATTATGATTACAAATCGGCAATAAATATATAATAATATAAATTGGCAATAAAGCGCGTAATGTATAATATAGATTTTTAAAGAAATTAAACATTTGTCCAAACTGTGGTTTCATTATGTTTATAGTATGTTGATCAATAATGCAATATGAAATACAGAATATATGTAAATTACAGTTACACCATTTAAGCAACGATTAATACAATTAAATGAACAGTTGTATAATTTGTAAAATGGAGGTTGGACCGCCATTAAGCTGACAGTGAGCACCCCTTAGTCTTATATAATAAGATATAGTCCGTGGTACAGACCCCCTATTTATCGAATTATTAACATCCGCCAGAAACTTAGTAAATAGTTTCATCTCATCCTAACCTACAACTATTTTATTTACGAAAACTCTTGGGCCGTTTTCAATCTGGAGGGGGGCAAACTTTGTCTATTTAATTAAGTATTAAAAAATCGTTAATACACATTTGTTTTCTACTTGAATCGTAAGATAATTTGATCACAAAGTCGAGAAAAAAGGTAGCCTTCAAAAATATTGAGCCGTTTGGCGTGACCTACACCCCAAATTTTCAAAAAACGAGGTTATATAAGACAAAGGGTCCAAAGTTTTTTAGGGTACCTTTTTTTATCGATTTTATGGTCAATTTATCTTACGATCCAAGTAGAAAGCAAATGAGTATTTACGAGTTTTCAGTACCGAATTAAATAGACAAAGTTTGCCTCCTCCAGATTAAAAACGCCCCAACTCCAAGAGTTTTCTTAAATAAAATAGATGTAGATTACGGTGAAATGAAGCTATTTACAAAGTTTCAGGCGGATGTTAATAATTTGATGAAAAGGAGTACCAGGGAATAGTAGTTTGTGTCTGTATGAGCTTAAAGAAGTATTTATGCCTAATTTTCAGTTTTGATGATAAGAAAAAAAAGTACAGTGATTTCAGTCATTTAATAAACTACTGAAATCAGTATACTTATTAATTTTTTTTTCTTTTAATTTATTTATTGAGTGTTACAACAATCTGTCTCTTGGACATTGGTTATAGTGAGGTAGGATGACATTCACACTATATGTACAAAAAATATAAAATAAATAGAAGCAAAATAATAATCAAAAGTATATACAATAGATAATAAAATAAAATAACCTAATAAATAAGAAAATTAAAACTAAGCAAAAAAAAAACATGCATACAATCAGGCGAGGGAACTCCAGGAGAACCCTGCGCTACTCTCTCAACCGCGTCGCTGGTACTAAGGCCAGCGGAGATTGGTTGAGAGCACTTTAGCCACATACACTCATGTCTTGAATGGAGAATCTGGCCATTGCCAGAACTCCAATATATACAATCTACAAAAGGTCGCGAGGCCACTGCCGTTTCAACCTTCTTGGAGGATTATAGGGATGGGAGGTGCTTGATAGGGATTGTGCACGAGGATTTGGGTGGTACGTAAGATTCTGGTGAAATTTGAAGAATTTTTCTGGGATAAGGTCTAGGACAAATGGGATGTTGAGGTCATGATGTAGGTGTTGGTTACATAGAAAGGAACATCGACTATTGTTCGAAGGACTTTTGACTGGAAGGATTGGATGCGCTTGATGTTAGAAAATTTTGCTGATCACCACAGTTCTAGTCCGTAAGTCCAAATAGGTTTCAGTATTGCCTTGTAGATCAGTAGCTTGTTTTCAATGTAAAGTTAAGATTTTCTGTTTAGTAGTCGGTATAGTTGGCTGTATCGT